CTCAAGATGCAGCATGCTCTTTTAATAAATAATTGCAAATCTTTTTTTAATTTTAAGAAAAAATTTCTTGAACTATAACTTTTAGTATTTCGTTCCCTTGCTACTTTTTTTTTCCTTACAGGGATTCCTTTTATCCGTAAGTTTTGTTTTTTTTTTTCCATACTCTTTTTTCTCCATCTGACCCTTTCTTTCACCATTCTCTTCTCTGCCTCCTAAAATCTTTGGAGCAACTGTGTGACCAACAGTGCCCCTTCCTCCCCAGTATCTTCAAATGACTCTCCCCACAGACCTTTCCCTGACCCGCCTTACCTGAAATCTGACCCTCTAGGAGGACAAGGGACCCGTCTCAAAAGAGGCTCTTTTTGTTTATCTTGCTTGGATCTCTTGCCATGTGTCTGCATCACCTGTATAATGCTCTCCACACCTCTCTGGAAACATCCCACTCGCTCCCCTCATTCAATGAAGACTTAAGCTCTCAGCGATGGCTCTGCAGTGTGCTCGCTCACTCTCTCTCTTTTAACATACGCCAGGGTTTGATCCTGGCTATCATGTATTAGATGCATTACCTCAGCCAAGGTGCTTAATTTGCTTGTGTCTCAGTTTCCCTATTTGCAAAATAAGGCTAAGGAAGGTCTTCATATCATTCTTGTGGTTAAATTAGGTAAAGTGCATAAAATGAACAGTGCTTGGGGCTACATGTTGGCTCTTATTATTTTTATCCAGCTTGCTGTAGGAACATAAGCAGGCCCTTAGCTGGAATGATAATACTTTAAAAAAAAAAAAAACAAAAATAACTCTGTGATTTAATTTTGGTGTCTCAGAAGGTAACATCCCAGAGGTATGAATTTAGGAACCATTAAAAGAAATAATGATAAAGTTGAACACCACGGAGGGCTTATTTACTCACTTTCTAAGTGGACTTTACTGCTTCCCATTCCTGGCCAAACCAGCTAACCCTCAGCCCAAGACAGAAAGCACCGGTTTGTAGCAATAAGGTGGGGCGGGGAACGTCCTGCATCCAGCTCAGTGATCACCAATTCGTGAGACCTCTGCACCCCCACGGATGCACCCATGACCTCTGAGGGTGCGTTGCCACGGCCACCTCCTCCTCATGCCACCTCCACGCCCACTCCCACTGCCACCTCATGCCCTGCACCTCCCCTCCAGCATGTTCTAGCTCAAGATTTCACATTGTCACACAAGTTATTTTCCCAAAACTCTTGCCATCCCCCCAGAGTGATTTGTCACCAGCAAGTAGAGTGATGGGAGGGGCCTCGTCATTAACCAAGAGATGATTCACAGGGCTCCACGCAAGAGCCTGTGAAAAGCGCCCTTTATTTTCCCCAAATAACATAAATCATCCCACCCAGCCCCGTCCTGAGTGACCTCCTTGCTTGCTTTGCCTTCTACAAATTAATGTAAATCCCTAGATTTGGGGTGCATATTTGGAGTGGGGGAGTCGGAAGAGTGGCCCAGAAGACCTTTGCTTCCCTTTCTATAAAACACCAGACACTGTGGTGTGGTTTCAAGCCATTTCCATTCCTTCTTTTCATATAACTGGGCAGGGGTCTTCCTCCAAATTCAAAAGTCCTTCTTTGTGAACCAACACAGCAGAATTTAACATTGCACCCTCCCTCGCCAAATGCCAAATCTTGAACTTGCTGACTGGAGTGAATAATTAGGCCACCAAATGGAAGACAACATCCTGGTCTAGGAAAACAATCTCCATAATGTGCTGGCCCATCAGAAAACAGACTGAAATTATATGTTGAAGCACAGTGGAAATTTCCTCCTGCATGTTTTATGTAAACAAGTTCATTTGTTCATTCAATGAATCCACAGTTCTTCAAAGGCCCTGTTTATATTAAAAGAAAGAAGCAGAAACATTTGGATTGGCTGGCAGCCAGCTCTACACCTACAGAGTTGTCAAGCTGTTAGAGCAACATTCGGGAGCTCAGATGTTTATGTTGAGATGGGCTCTTAAGCCAAAAGTAAAATATTGTTTTTGGATGCAACAGCCAGATATGTGAGCAATGGACTCACATATTTAGAGACAAAAAGGCCAGTGTTTTGCAAAAGGGCGGAACTGAGCTGATGATGGACTTCAGACCTTGGGCAGGCCCGAGGACTCACACTTTTTAAAGTCTATGGAGCATCACACAGAGGCTTTTGTATTAGACAACTTTAAAGGAACAAAAAAGCAAAAGTGCCTGAGGTTAAGACCTTAATCCAGATGGTCCCTAGGCTACTTCCTTGGAGTCTAAGAAAAAACAAAATCTACCCACCAAAGACCTAAAACTTGGGTCCTTTCCAAGTTCAATGGTTTTTATTTACTGTTTACAAGAGCATGTAGTAGTCAACTAGTAGCTTCAAGAAAAGGTTCTTGAGAAAGAGAGGCTTGTATCAATCAAGATTCGTTGGTTGCAAATGACAGAAAATCCAACCTAAATTAGATTAAGCAAACCAGGGGTTTTATTGGGTCATAAATTTGGAGTAGAGTATTGAAGTCCCTGGCTGGATCCAGGAAATCAAAGGATGTCACTATATGGTTCTTGCTCTATTTTTTGACTCTGCATTCACCTGGGTGGGTGCATTTTGGGGTAGAGGTTGTTCATCTGTAGTAAGGTGGCTGCCCCTACTCCAGCTCAACACTATAACTTCTTAGCAATAGCAGGGAAAAGAGAGCATCTCTCCTGCAGTTGCTCAAGCTGCTAGCTGAGAATTGGTCTATATTAACTTTAATTGTGTCACATGCCCATATCTTAACCAACCACTGTGGTCATGAGATTCTTCTGATTGGCTGGACCTAGGTCACATGCACAGCCCTGGACCAAGCCCAACTACGCGGACAGAGGGGAGGGTGGCTCACTAAGGAAAATAGGATTAATTACAAGAAGAAAGGGAAGTGGATTTGGAGCAAGGAGAAATTGGTCTGAAAAACATGTCATCACAAAAAATAAATAAATAAACATGGAAAGGGTATGTCTGGTTTGAGAATGATCAAGATTATGATGGGGCCGGGCATGGTGGCTCATGCCTGTAATCCTAGCACTCTGGGAGGCCGATGGGAGAGGATCGTTTGAGCTTAGATGTTCGAGACCAGCCTGAGCAAGAGCAAGACCTCGTCTCTACTAAAAAAAAAATAGAAATTAGCTGGACAACTAAAAATATGCAGAAAAAATTAGCCGGGCATGGTGGTGCGTGCCTGTAGTCCCTTCTACTTGGGAGGCTGAGGCAGGAGGATCACTTGAGCCCAGGAGTTTGAGGTTGTTGTGAACTAGGCTGAGGCCATGGCACTCTAGCCCAGGCAACAGAGCGAGACTCTGTCTCAAAAAAAAAAAAAAAAAAAAGATTATGATGAATCCTGGAATTTTAAACTTGGAAGATTTAGAAAATAAGACAATAAAAATATATTACTATAATCTTTTTTTTTTTTTTTTTTTTGAGACAGAGTCCCACTTTGTTGCCCAGGCTAGAGTGAGTGCCATGGCGTCAGCCTAGTTCACAGCAACCTCAAACTCCTGGGCTCAAGTGATCCTCCTGCCTCAGCCTCCCGAGTAGAGGAGGTCTTGCTCTAGACCAATAGTTTTCAAACATTTTTTAAATTTAAAGCAATAGACTTCTTTTGTCAAATAAAATCCAAAGTCTATGGGGACATCCATGATGAAAACAGATCAACATGTTGCTATTTGGTTACAGGAGGAAAAGAGAAGGATGGGGAGTCGGGGGAGGGAAGGCCCAATGTTATGCTCTCTTAGTTCTCCGAACTCAGGCATCACTCCCAATTTCAGCTCCTCTTCGGCAACCGAGGGAAGACATTCAAAAACTGCTGGAGGTTCAAAGATGACTTTAAGGGGTTAGGTAGACACAGTATAGAATAACACTGACTCACACCAAGACAAGTCTCTTACCTGATCAATTCTCTTTCGATCTTGTTGATTTTATATTATCAAGGAGAGAGCCAAAAGTTTAGTGCTAATATATTTTAATCAATGTTTTAGTTCTTGCTAGTACTCATTTGAAAAACAAGAGGTCAGTTTTTCAGGCTCAGAGTGCTCCGTGGGTGACAGTATTAGGCTAGAATTTACTATAAGTATTCTATTTTCACCGCTTTTGTTTTTACTATTTTCTTCCATTTTTTGAGGAAAATGATTCTTTTACATTTTATGATGACGACATATCTGCGTGGTAAAATATACATATCATAAGATCTACCATTTTAACCATTTTTAGGCGACGGTGCAGTGGCATTAAGTACATTCACACTGTTGTGCAACCATCACCACCATCCATCTCCAGAACTTTATCTTTCAAAATTGAAACTCTGTACCCTCTGTAACTCCTCATCCCACCCCCAGCCCTGGCAAGTATGTATTTCTTTTAAATACAGGTATATAAGTGAAACACATAAACGTATGCAAATAAAAATATTTAATAAATTATAGTACCGATAGTGCATGTGGGAAAGGATAACACTGAGAGAGATGTTTGGAAACAATCGAGGAGCTTAACCCCCTAAAATGATAAAACCCTGTCTTCAATATCCCTGCAAACCCAAACCTTTTGTTTGAACCTTGGGAACAATACAGCTCCCTCCTTCGCAGGCAGCCTGTTTCGTGAGGCTCTGGGTTGACTGCTGGAAAGTTCTTCCTTCCATGCAGCCTCGAACCCTTGGCCTGAGGATTGGCGCTGCCTTTCGAGCAGCTTTGCTCTCCACTACAGTGATCCGGGTACTCGAAGCCGGGCGTCATGGCCGCGTTAAAGGCTCCCTTCTTGGCGAAGGACCCCGCGTTTGCTCGCAGACCCGGACCAAGGGCACCTGCGACACCAAGGAGCCTTTCCAGCCTGCCCAGCACCCGCAGCCCCACCTTCCGGCCACACCTGCCCGGTTTTCTGTTGGGATCCGCCCCTTCTCCACTGTCATTTACGTGGATTGGGCGAGGCTGACTCCACCCCATGACCCAGGGCTCACCAATCAGAGCAGTCCATTGCCTAAGCCACAGTGATTGGCTCAAGGGCAAACACGTGATCATCCATGGCGGTCAAAAGCGCCCCAGTGCCCCAAGTCTAGCCTCACCTGCCACCTAGTCCCAAGTGCTGCCTGAGGTGGTTCAACGCCCTGTCTTTAATCAGTGGCTTTGGCTTTTTAAAATTTTGATAACATGGATGTGTTCAAAGATAAGGGCTCTATCCATGATTTCTAGCAGTATCTGCCACCAGGCTTGACATCTGTGGTGGACGCCTTCTACTATGTGACAAGTATTACAAACTCATTTCATCTCCAGAACAACCCTGTGAGGCGCTCCAAGGACGATATTTTCAGGTGAGGAAACTGAGGCACAGACAGGTGGAGTAACCTGCCCAGGGTCCCAGCAGTAAGTACCCAGGCAGGGATTTGAACTCAGGCCGCCTGGCTCTGAACCAGTCCTCACCTCACCCATGGTACGGCTCTGAGAGCTGCTCCCTGTGCCACTAGCAGAGCAGTAACGGAGCCACCGCTGTCGCTTGCACTCTCTTGGGCTCTCTCCCTTTCGGAGTGGACTCATGTTGTTACTGGCTGCTCTGCAAGGTCTCTCGAGTAGAATGCCTTTGATCGTGAGCCTTTTCTTGCAAGCCTCTGAAGGACTTCATTAGGTGTAGGGGCTTGCTGCAGGTGACCATCTCTCCAGTGTCTCAGCTCTCTGCCCTTCTGTCTCCTCATTATCTGGCCCGCAGGGCTTGTATCAGCACCCGAGGTGAATTCTGTCCTCCCTCTGTGGAAAATAAAAGAGAATTAAAAAGTCTCAGTCTTGTGAAATTGAAAATTCCAGCCAAGGGGCCAGTGAGGCCCCAGACTGGGAAGCTCCAGTTCCCAGGAGAGAGCCGAGTCCTGCTCTGAGATAACATCAGTCTTCTGCCTGCACACGCAGACAGATGCAGGGACTGTAATTACACCTCTTAATCTGAGGCTTTACTTTACTTAACGAGTAATTAGCCAAAACCACGCTACCGTTGGAGGCGTGACCCTGGCGTGTGAAGGGTTCATGTGCATCTATCCCACCTGGCATCTTCCTCTTCAACATCTTGGATCTTGGGAGAGAATGTGTGCCAACCACCCAGCCGCCTCCTCACTCACCCTCCTGCCCCCAGCGCTTTCCTGGTCAGAGCTAGCCAAGGAAAGGGGCCCTTCAGAAACACGGGCGTTGTGGAAAGGGGAGAGGGAGGCAGTGAGGATGAGCAGGAGGTGCAGCTTCTGGCGGAGGCTGGGACAGTCTGCACTGAGCTGCTATGCAGGACAGCTCAAGGCAGCCAGGAAGTCCCATCTCTTCATGAAGAGGAGACTAAACTCACTGAGCCCACTCTCCTCAAGGCGTTTGCAGAGGTCGGGCATTCTATTAGGGCCAAACATGGACTTCAGGGAATTGCAGAACAGGCGGTTATGGTGAATTCATCAGCAAAGGCAGAGTGGTTTCAGGACATCACTGAGCTTTAATGCTAATTTCCCTTAAAAGTCTTGGAATTCAAAGAGACAAAATTTGGGGTCTAGCAGGAACTACTTGTTACCTACCCTGTATCTAGTCTCCTCTTCTTCCTTGGAAACAGAACCTCCAGTTTAGCTGGGCACGTGGCTAGAAGGAAGGAAGGAAGGAAGAGGACTTTGCCCACCCTTCCTTGCACTACGTGAGATCATGTGATGAAGGAAAGGCAATGTCATATCAGAAGTCTTGTATGAGATGTCAGAGTAGAGAACAGGCTCATGGGAATGGTGTGCCTTTTGTGCTCTGATTTCATTTCTCCTTCTGGCTACCTGGAATGTGGCTGCTAGGCCTGGCACTTGGCAGCCATCTTGGACCATGAAGTGGCTGTGAAGATGGAAGCCATCCAGAGTGTAGCAGAGACAGGAAAGGTGTGCGGTCCCGGATGACTTCATGGAGCTTCCACATCAGCCACAGACTGTCTCCCCAACTCCAAGTAAGAGAATGCGATGACTTATTTGTGTTTAAGTCACTGTTATGTTGAATTTTCTGTTATATGTGACTGGAACGGTCTTCCCAGGCCTCAGGTGAATGTCACCTCTTCAGTGAGGCCTTCCCTGATCAGCACAGCTAGAATAGCTGCCCCCCTGAACACGCTGTCCCTCTCTGCCACCACTTGGTCACTCTACTATATTTTTCTTTCTCAGCACATACCACAGTGTGAAGTTAGTACCTGTCTTTTCCTCTAGAATGTCACCTCTGTGGAGTTAAGCCCACTTTTGCCTTTTCTCCGCTGAATCTTCCAGGGCCCAGGACACCTTTTACCCACGTCATAAATATTTACTTATGGAATGAACGAGTGGCTAGGTGAGTGGAGACAGAAAGTGAAAGGCTCTACCTCTTTGAGACTGTGACTTCCAGCAGGTTGGTGCTCCTTGCTGAGCCTCCCTGTCTCCCTCTGCAAAGCAGTGCAAATGACAGGACAGTCTTTTTCTCCCAGGCTTGTATAAAGAGCTCCTGCTAACCATGCATTGTCATGCAGAGGTTATTTAAGCCAATTAAATTAGGCTGTCACGGCAGCGCTGCCAGGAATCTCTCCAGCTCATTCACACGTGAGTGGGTGGTGTCTGTCCCACAGCAGCGCCTGCAGCTTCTGGGCTCCTGCTGGTGTTACACTGAAGCCCAGGACACCAGAGGTGTTGACGGAGCACCTATTATGTGCCAGACATTGACATAGACACTGAGGCTACAGCTGCGGAAGAGCCAGACTCCCTCTCCCTCCTGACTGCAGGAGCTCAGTCATGAGCTGGGCTCACCAGGGCAGAGGCCCAGGCAGAGGGTTTCTGGAAGGCCTCCTTGAGGAGGTGTCATTTGGCTGAGTCCTGAAAGGTGGACAGGAGTTAGCCAGGGAGCAAGGAGGAGGAGGCTGGCCAGGCCGAGGGAACAGCACTATGTGAAGCCCTGAATCAGGGGAGAAGGGGGGAGCACAGGGAAGTGAAAGACGTGGGGGCCTTAGAGGAGACACATGATCACATTTCTGATTTTGAGAAATCTTCTTCATTTACCAAGGGGCATACGGATTAAAGAGGGCAGAGTGGTAGCGGAGAGGCCCATGACGAGGCCCTGAATGGTCCAGGTATGGGATGATGGCGGTTAGAATTCTTTTTTAATAACAGCTTTATTGAGATATAATTTGCATTCTCTAATGTTCACCCTTTTAAAGTACACAATTCTGTTGTCTTAGTGTACACATAAAGTCGTGCAACCATCACCACTTCCTAATTCCAGAACATTCCATCATCCCAAAAGAAATCCCATACCCTTTGGCAGTCACTCCCCATCGCCTGCGCCCCAGCCTTAGGCATCCCTCTGCCGCTTTCTGCGGCCATGGAGTTCCCATTCTGGTCATTTCATATAAGTGGAATCATACACCATGTGGTCTTTTGTGACTTTTATTTTTCTCTTAATATTTTCAGGGTTCATTCTCATTGTAGCATGTGTCAGTACTTCATTACTTTTTATGGCAGAATAATACCCTATGGAATGCATATACAGTTGTCCTTCGGTATCCATAGGGGATTGGTTCCAGGACCCCCACAGGTACCAAAATCCGAGGTTGCTCAAGTCCCTTTTATAAAACGGAGTAGTATTCATGTATAACCTCCGCCTATCCTCCCGTATTCTTTAAATCATCTCTAGATCACTTATAATACCTAATACAGTGTAAGTGCTATGTAAATAGTTGTTATACCATACAGATTAGGTAATAATGACAAGGAAAAAAGTACATATATGTTCAGCACAGACGCAATCATTGACTAACTGCAGTTTTGATCCGCAATTGGTAGAATCAGAGGATGTGGCCGTGGAGGGCAGAGCATACCACTTTTCATTGTTCATCAATTCATTGTTGACAGGCATCTGGCTTGCTTCCAATTTTGGCTATGATAAAAACTGCTGCTATGAACATTTGTGCACAAGTTTTTAGGGACATATATTTTTGTTTTTCTTGGGTATATATCTAGGAATGGAATTGTTGGTTCGTATGATAACTCTATTTCTGTTTTTGAGGAACTGTCAGGCTGTTTTCCAGAGTGGCTGCACCAGTGTACATTCCCGCCAGCAATGCGAGATGCTTACAGTTTCCTGTATCTTCACCAACACTTGTTGCTATATGTCTTTTTGATTGTAGCCATCCTAGTACAGATCTTGTGGTCTTGATTTGCATTTCCCTGAAGATTAGTAATATGGCACATCTTCTCATGTGCTTAGAGGGCATTCAGATACCTTCTTTGGAGAAGTGTCTATTCCTCTGCCCCCTCCAGTGGCGGTCAGGTGCTGCTTGTCACAGCTACTAGGGTCGAGGCATTGGTTTTCCAGGCTGCCTCGGAGCTGGGAAGAGGGTGACAGGTTAGGGCAAGTTAAAACAAAGCTTGCCTCTCTGAGAGTCAGCATTTTTGTTGACTAAACATACTTGTATAGTTGGAGGCCTTCAGTTAATAACCAGAGTTCTGAAAAAGTCGATTTGGCAGTTTTTTTGAATTGATGTTCTCATTGTTTTAGTGAGGAATGTATTTCCGGAGGTGTTTACTCTGCCATTCTGGAAGGGTCTCTAATTGAAGTGTCAATAGGAGTTAATATCTGTTTAGGGCTTATTTTGTGTTAGGCACTTATTTAAGCATTTTGCATATTTAATGCCCCTACAGGGAGGAAGGCATTATTACATCCATTTTAGGGATGAGGAAACAGAGGCATTAAGTGACCAAGGTCAAGGGACTTGCTAAATATCACCCAGTTGGTAAGCAGGTGGCATTGTGGTAGAGAAGGCACCGGCAGGCCTCTGGCTCCAGGGCCTGTGCTGTGACCACCCCCCCTCCTCTGGCTGCCCACAGAGTCAGGAGGGGCCCAGGAACCCAGGATGGCCCTTCCCCAGGGGCAGGTTTTGCGGCTGGGAAGGACAGAGCCGAGGCTTCCCTAGGTGCATCCCTCACTCTGCTCAGCTGGGTCCTAAGTGCTGTAAAGCAGCAGTCTCCAACCTTTTTAGCTCCAGGGACCAGTTTAATGGAAGACAATTTTTCCATGGACTGTGGAGGTGGTGGGGGAAGGGATGGTTTGGGGATGACTTAAGTGAGTTACATTTATCGTGCAGTCAGACCTCTCTGCTGATGACGATCTGTATTTGCAGCTGCTCCCCAGCGCTAGCATCACCGCCTCAGCTCCACCTCAGATCATTAGGCATTAGATTCTCAAAAGGAACACACAACCTAGATCCCCTGCACGCGCAGTCTACAGTAGGGTTCGAGCTCCCGCGAGAGTCTAATGCTGCCGCTGATCTGACAGCAGGCAGAGCTTACGCGGTGATGCCAGCGATCGTGATGCTTTTCCCAGAACACCCTGAGCACTGGATGAATGAATGGACAGAGGGATGAATGGATAAATGGATAGACGGATGGATGTCTTAATGGATGGGTGGATGGATGAGCTATGGACACGTGTATGGAGAGGTGGTACCACAGGATGCTGTTATTAGTCATGTGAATGAGCTTATCAGACTCTTCCTTGAGGGGAGGTTTTTTTGTTTTTTTTTTTTTTTGAGACAGAGTCTCACTTTGTTGCCCAGGCTAGAGTGAGTGGGCATGAGCCTAGCTCACAGCAACCTCAAACTCCTGGGCTCAAGCAATCCTCCTGCCTCAGCCTCCTGAGTAGCTGGGACTACAGGCATGCACCACCATGCCCGGCTAATTTTGTCTATGTATATTAGTTGGCCAATTAATTTATTTTTTATATATAGTAGAGACGGGGTCTCGCTCTTGCTCAGGCTGGTTTCAAACTCCTGACCTTGAGCAATCCGCCTGCCTCGGCCTCCCAGAGTGCTAGGATTACAGGCGTGAGCCACCTCGCCCAGCTTTGAGGGGAGTTTTGGTGAGCAGAGCTGGAAGGCATTTTGCAGACATTTAGCACCAGAGTCAGGAGGGAGGGTAGGGTGACCACAGCATTGTCACCAGCGGGATTTCCTCAGAAATAGTGGCAGGTGAGCCCACAGAAAATCCTGCCCCAGGAACATGACCCTTGGCGTGGCTTCAGGGAAAGTGACACAGATACCCCTAGATTCCCATGGAATGGAAAAGCCAAGGAATCAGTCACTGCACAGTGTCGGGGAAGCTGCTGACCTTCTGGGACCTCAGTTTCTCCATCTGTCAAGTGGGACTCATAACAGCCACCCACCTACACCTAGACACAGGGGGCAGCTAAGGGTGAGGATGGATGGTGCAGCCTCTGGGGCCAGGCTGCCTGGGGTTCAAATCCCAGCTCTGCCCCATAGTGGCTGTGTGGCCTTGGGCAGGTCCTGCACCACCATGAGCCCAGAGAGCACAGCACCTACCTCCTGGGCCGAGGGCAGACTCCATGACGATGATGGAAAGCTCTAGCTCCTTCTAGGGCCCTGCAGGCCGTCAGCTGTCAGTGAACATCAGCTCTCGTTAGCAGTGCTGGCAACAGAGACTGACATGTAGTAGGCATCAATAAATGTGTCTGGAATGAATTCATTGAAAAAATGGTCATAGGCCTATGAGTGACCTGAGGCCCAGAGACACCAAGGAGCTTGTCTTTATAGTGAGACCCGAGGGCCTGCTTCCCACAGCCTGCCTGCTCAGGGTGCGGTCTCCTGCCCCACGTCTCACTCAGACTGGGTCAGAAACCGGGATTTTCAAATTCAGGGCCTGGGGCCATTGCACCTCAGCTTTCCCGAATTCCTCTAAAAATATCCTCCCTTTTAAAGCCCCCGAGGCCTCTCTCAAGGTGGAGCGCAGACTTCTCACAGATGTCCCCAGGCTGAGGGATTCTCAGAATAGCTGCCACCTGCCCTGCCGCCTCAGGGCCCGTGGGCTCCTCACCATCTGGTCCCAACCAGAAACCCTCCCCGCCTGTGCCTCTGCCCTCTGGCCTGCGAGGGGCTCCCAGACCACCACCGTCCGGGCTGTCCCAGAGCCCATCCCTCCCTCTTCAGCGTGGGCTCCCAGAAGGCCATTTAGCCCATGTCCATATGAATAGCTTCCCAGCTTCAACGGCCAATTCTCCGATTTACCATAAAACTTCCTTAAATTTAGCTCCAAGGACAATGCTGAGGAAGAAGGGAAGGGTTGTGGGAAAGAATGTGGGGCTGGAGCCCACTTCTGCCTCCCCACCTCCCCAAGACTGGGCCTCCCCAGAAACCCTCTGTCCACCCTCCAATCCCAGCCTGCTGCCGGGGCCTCTGAGCTTATTCCCACCCCAGGGCCTTTGCCCCTGCTGGCTCCTCTGCCCAGTGGTCCCATGGCTGGCTGCTTCTGCTCCTCCAGGGCTCAGCTGCAGTGTCACTCCCAAGGGCAGCCTCCCAGCCCTCGATTGAGCACAAGCCCTGGGGTCACCCTCTCACATCACTCCGGGTCATCATCCTGGTCATCTTGCTGCTTGGCGTGTTCTCATTCATGTTCCCATCGGTTCCATTTGTTGTTGCGACTGAATGTTAGATCGGGGAGGGCATGTCTCATCTGTGTTGCTCACTGTCGTTGCCCTTGCACTTCGAGCCATGCCTGGCACACAGCATGTGCTCGGTGACCATCTGAGGGGTGAGTGAACTGATTTGGTCACTAAGAATTAATTTGCTAAGAATGGGCTGTCAACCTAAAGTCAAAAGGGTCAGAATCCAGTTTAAAGAGAATTTTTTTAAGCACAAAATTTGATGACAGGCCACCCAGCGAGCAGAGATTTCAAAGCAGGGAAGTCAGTGTTCCAAAGTGTAGAAGTTTGGGATCGCTTATATAGACAAAGCTTAGGGAAGTTTAACAGAATTTTAACATCTGTCTATGTAAGGCTTAATACATAGTTATAAAGACCTGATCAGTTCAGGTATCCCCCACCCACCCTGGGAAAGGTATGTTCAGCATTCACCACTGAAGACGTAACTGCCATGGGGTCTAAGGTGCCATCTGGCCTGAATTAGGTAGAAGACAATAATGGAGGTAGCTAGTCTGTAACAAAGATCAGTGATTGGAAGGGGGAAGTCCTGGTCTCTGGTCTCTGCTAGTCATTTACAGAACGGGAACGATGAGGAAGAGACTTAAACCATAATCTATGAAGCAGATTGCAAACATGCTAAGTCAGGACTCGGTCTCCAGGGCTTAATTCCCCCCTTGGCTTAATAAATTTAGAGAGTCCTGAAGTTTTATTTTCTTTTACAGGGCTCACCCCAGACAATCATATTTTAACGAGAGAATACTAATAATAATCGTAATAACCAATGCCCACAGAGAGCTAACTCTGTGCCAGGCACTATTCCAAGTGCTTTATGCAGATTATCTCATTTAATCCTCCCACGATGTGATAATGTTATGTATTATTGTAGTATGTCAATTTCACACCAAGCTTCTGTGTGTGTGCTTTGAATTCCTGCGGAAGGAGCCAGTCAGTGCTTTCATACTCATTGTGTGAGTCACCCCAGAAGTCCTCTCCATGGCCCTGCTGGAGTAGGAATAGCCATGACCAGGTCCCTCCTGCAGGGGCCTGGGTCTGGCACTGCCCACTCGGTGTTACCTCTGGCTCCCAGGCTGCCTGCCCACTGCCGGAAGACTGAGGCGGCCTTGGGGAGCTTTCTGCTGCTAAAGGTTAATAATTCTTTAAACACACAGCAATTAACATGTGCTTGGCCTTGTGCTTAGTGCTTTAGATATGTTAATTAGTTCTATACCCAAACCCTATGGAGCGGGTGCTATTAATATTATTGTCCCTGTTTAGATGGGGAAACTGAGGCACAGAGCAGAGGAATATCTTGTCCAAGGTCACACAGCAAAGTGGTGGAGCCAGACAGCCTGGCTGCCAAGTCTGCACACTTAGCCGCCACTCCAGACTGTCCCTTGCTGAGACTGTCCCTCACTGGGTGAGAAGGGTGGCGGAGACTGGGGCCGGGCTGGAGAGGGTGACAGTCCACCTGGAACAGCGTTGGTGTGTCAGTTAGGACTTGTTTGGCTGCAAGTGGCAGGAAGCCATCCCCCACTGGCTTCAGCTGAAAGGATAAGCCTCAAGTTGCTTTACTTGAAGCATGGCTGGGTCTAGAACCACAAATGATGGTGTTAGCACTGAGTCTCTTTCAGAGTTCGGTTCTGATGGCCGCTGTGTTGACTGCATTCTCAGGCACCACGGTTGGCAAGATGGGTGCTGATAAGTCCACATCCATTATTACTCTCAGCTTTAAACCCAGAGGAAACAGAATTATTTATTTTAATTCCTCCAGTGAAAAGCTTGGAATTACCTCTTGTTGAACCTGATTGGATAGCCTGAGTCAGGTGCTTACCTGTGAACCAATCTTGATGGCTAAGGAAATGCAGCAATTCTCTGATTGGCTAGGCCTAGGCATTATGTCAGCGCCCAGAGCCAGGTATGGGCCAGCTCCACCTGAGGCAGCTAGTGGGGGGAGGCTCCTAGAGCAGCATCCATGCCACGATGGGGGGGGGGAAGTCAGGTGGGAAAGCACCAGGTGTTGACTGCACGTGCTGTGACCAACACATTATTCACACTTGTGAAAAGCTGGTTGTATGAAGTGGGTCATTCTTGTGACACTGAACTAAAACAGAGTCAAGAAGCTGGGGGAAGGGCTCTTGGGCACATAACACTGCTCCAAGAATGTCATTCTCTGCAAGCATGACTGCTGAAACTGCTTGCTCTAACCCCAAAACAGATTCATCTGTAGTTGCTGAGATAACTGGCTCCAACTCTAGGACTAACTTTGCCCACCAATCAGAGCTGGCCAGCTCCCCAAAGCTTTACTAATACCAATGAACTTTCTCTCAAGAACACACGTAACATTCATTTTTCATAAAACCCCAAACCTGCTCTTTGCCCTTCAGAGACACCGAAGATCATCTGGTGTATGCCACAAATTGCAATTCTTTCTTCCCAAATAAAACATTAAGTTTAAAGATCCATCCCTACAGTTGTATTTCAACTTCAACCCACGTATGACACAGGAATGGCCTCTATACTGTGTGTATAGGTCAGATAGATGCTAAGGTTTGTATTTTATGACTTTGATAAAGTTAGGATGACATTTACTTCTCTCAACTCTCCACAGCTGTCTCTTTAGTGAACTACAAAGTAGGACACTCATGTCCTTCTGGGAAGTGTGTGACCAAGGGGGAAATTTCAGAAACTGTGACAGGGTGAGGGGGGGAGAAATTCTGCAGGAAGACTGAGGTTACAATTATGTGACACCATTAGATTGGGAAAGAAGGTGGATTTGGGTGCTTCTAGCAAACAAGACAATAGCTGTTGGCCCTGAGCTCTAAAGCTGTACCCAACATTGTTCTAAGCTCTACCTAGATCCTCTCATGTAAGCCTTCCAGCAACTCTCTGAGGCATCATCCCCGTTTCTCCAGACAAGCAAACCCAGGCACGGTGACTTGTACTCCCAGGACCTCATGCTGGCGAGCGCCTATGGCCCAGCACAGGAGGTGAATCACAAAGGGTCTCAGCCAATCACGGATCCCTCCCCTTTGCTGTGATTGGTGGGTGTTGACCCACTTCTGACTAATGAGGTACAAGGGTTGTGTTCTGGGGAATTCTGGGAAAACCTATTCTCCCTGAAAAGGGAGGGCTCATGAGAACATATTTTGTCCCCCTGCCCCATGCCCTCCTGCTCTGGGCATTGTCCTCTGACCATCCCTCTCTACCTCTGTTGCAGACCCCCAACTCCACCCCAATCCAGACCACTCTCATTGTTTACCAAGAATATTCTGGTCTCCCTGCTCCCACCCTCACGCTGACGTGCAGCCAGAGTCTGTTAGCCTCCAAGTCAGGCCGAGTGCCTCCTCTGCTCAGAACCTTCCAGGGACTTCCCATCTCAGCCGAGTCAGAGCTCAAGACCCCACCATGCCCCACAAGACCCTATCTACCTACCTATCTATCTAGATAATAGAATATGAAGAGAATATACAATAGAATATATATATATGTTATCTGTATTGTGTGTGTATATATGTACATATATATACATAGAAAGAGAGAGATTGGAGGAATTGGCTGACACGATTGCGGGGACAGGCAGCCAGGCAGGGGTTGACGCTGCAGTCTTGAGTCCAAAGGGTGGAAACTCAGGCGTAATTTCGAGGTCACGCTTTGGAGGCAGAATTTCTTACTCTTTGAGGGACCTCAACCTTTACTCTTAAGGCCTTCAGCTGACTGCGTGTGGCCCAGCCCCCTCGTGGAGGGTAATCTGCTTGGCTCAGAGTCTACCAATTTGAATTTTAAATGTTAATCACATCTAAAAGATTAACTTCGCAGCAACAGCAATCGAGATGGCGTGTGACCAGACAGATGGGCACCCTCACCAGCCGAGTCAACACAAGCGAAGCCACGAGGATGCCCCGTTGCCTGTGCTAGCTGACGTGGGTCCCCGTGGCAGATGCTGTTTGTCCCTTCCCACGAAGCCCAGGACTTGCAGTGCTCTGCACATTTCCAACTGCGCCTCTGTGCCTGAGCACGTTTCTTTGGAACCATGGAAGGCTGTTCCGCCTTTCTGGCAAGCTAGAAATGCCAAAGATGCGTCACCCAGAGGGAGTAGCTCTTGACTGTGACTCTCTTAGTTGGTGGAAAAATACCCCAGGCCCCTTCCCCCCAGCAGGGTGGCTCTGCCTCTTTCCCAGGTAGTGCCCCCCAGGATCCAGCCCCACTGCCCACGGTGGTCACTTGCTGGACGTTGCTGTGCCTTGGCTGACGTCCCTCTCCTGTCTCGTCTCCCCACTCCCTGACCAGTGTCACTGGACCACCTTCCAAAAAAGCTGCACACCATTGAATCCTTGCCCAAAGCCATCTTCTGGGGGACTCCAGCTTGGAGGCTCCCTCCCCTTTGCCTGTCACTCTGTCACATGCCTTCCTTCATCTTATTACCATTACAGCTCTTATCAGACCTCAAATCATCTTGTGCCTAGGACTGCTGCCTTCCAGCTGCTCAGTAGAAGGCCAGCTCCAGGAGGGCAGGGACACGCTGCTCCCCTGCTGTGGCTTCAGGTCCAGCACAGAGGACACACGATCAATATTCACTGAAGGAACCAATGAACAAAGGGACGAATAGAGGCTCACCCTGGCACCGTGATTAGATTCAGCCCCAAACTCACCTGTCCCATTTTTTCCTGCCACCTCTGAGACGTAATCTGAAGATGTGATTTGTGCCAGTGGGTGATTTCTTTTTAGGTGAGACATGCGGATGTCAACAAGAAATGTCCATGCTCGGAATCCTTTAACCTGGGAAGTCACTCTGGCCAAGATCATAAAGTGATGGTGATGGGGTGGGAGGGATGAGGACGAGGATAAGGAAGGCCTCCTGGATGCAGTGAGGGGACGGGGTGCTGCCCTGGGACTCAGCACAGGGCCAGGGCCAAGTGCATGCTCAGCTTCTGCCCCTGGTCCGATCCTGGGCAAGTCTCTACACCTCCTCCCGAGCCTACAAACCTATACGTGGGGATCGTGGGTTCCGACGGTACAAAGTTCTGGTGCTTTGTAAATTACAAAGTCTTTGCTCACCGAGGGGATGGACTATGGGTGCAGGCGGAGGGGTCCTGCCTGTCTCACGTGAGCTGCTTGGGCTGCAAGTAACAGAAAATACGACTAGAAGTGGATTGTGTGATGACGCCAGTGCGCCAGCTCACTTACCACTGTCTGAGCTCACCTGGGTGGCAGGGCTGCTGCCTGGTGTGTCCTCTCTAAGAGGTGGGAAGGACCTGGGCTGCCCTTTTTTCTCTACGGCACCCCCAGAGCACAGAGAAGGCACAGAGAAGGCGTCCAACGAGAATTCCATCCGGGTCCTGGCTAACCCTCACAACTGCGTAGTCTTTCAAGTGTGCTCCCCCCCATAGCAGCTAAAGAAACTAAAGCTCAGAGAAGGTAAATTGCCTGCTCGAAACCTCAACACAGAGGACAGAGCCCGCGTGCCCTATGCGGGGCACGGCCACACCCCTGAGCACCCTGCTCCCCGGCTCTCCTCCCAGGGCCTTTTTCTGACCAGGTTAGCCCCTGCCTCCAGGAGCGTGGGGTCGGCCAGCCCCGCCCCAGCCAGCACAGACGACTGCCAGAGACGGAAGTCCACCAACCCCCTCGTTTTGATCATTGCACTGAGGACATAAATTCAGCAGCATGTGCTTGGTCAGCTGCCCCATTTTTCTCCTAAGTAGCAAATTTATGGGGCACACATGCACACGGGTGATTATTTCCCAATAGTTTATAGTATCAAGGCTCCTTTATTTCCCCCCAATAAATCTAATTTATATGGATTGGCAGATCAAACAGTGCATTTCCTGGCATCAGGAGGCCGTGAATCATTCGTGACGCTTTAGGAAACTTGGGGAGATTAAGGTTTTGCATAATGCAAATGGGAATGGAAACATATTTGCTCTGCCTCACTGTGGATGCAATTAGAGCAATGAACACCAGGAGAAATTCTTTCTCCCAGGACAGAGAAAGGTCTGCTTGGTATGCAAGAGAGCACAGTTACTTGTGACACTAGAGCCCGGAACATGGTTAGCAAAGCGCCCAGTGACGGTTTGATTTGCAGCTTTAAGGAATTCAAGGATGAATAAAACATTGAATTAATTGCCAAAGAACTATCGCCAGCCTGCATGAGATCTAAGCACCCTGGCAAGTGTAACACACACACACACACACACACACACACACACACACGCAAACATGTGCAAGACACAAAGAAATAAACGTGTGCAAGACACAAAGAAACAAACCAAGACTGGGCCTCGGGTGTTCATGCTCCAGATCCCCGAAACAGCATTTAGTTTTGGGTATTTTGTTCTACCTGGAAGTTTCTCTCATCAAGACTCTGCCTCCCTCGGCCCCACCTCAAGTTCTCCGAGCCAGAAAGCCCTCTCTGCCTGCCCTGGCCTGGGGTGGGGAGGGGTGCTTGTTGGCTGCCTCTGTTCCCTCATTCATGGAGCAGATAGGTGCTGAGCACCTGCTGTGTGCCAGGCACCCACTGTCCCGAGTGCTGGGGACACAGCTGAGAACAGCCTGGTCCACGCTCCCTGCCCTGGCGCTGCCTCCCTGTGGGCGTGAGACAACAAGCAGAACAGAGGCGCTGCTGTAGGGGAAGGTGCCGAGTGCCACCCAGGACACAAAACAGGGAGGGTGGGGGGCACAGAGGAAACGCCAGGAGGTGGGATCAGCTGCAGGTCTAGGCAGGGGCTTGGGCAGGCCTGAGATGGTGACATTCGCAGAGACCCGAGGAGGGCGAGGTAGGAACCACGAGGAACGTTGGGGAGGGGCAAGAGCGTGGGGCAGTCTCACAGGCAGGAGCTCTGGGTGCTGCAGAAACCCAGAGGCCAGAGTGGCTAAGTCTGGGGCAGGGAGAGGGTGAGGAGTCCAGACAAGGAGCAGGGAGGGTCAAGGTCATATAAGACCCTTCATTCGTTCATTCATATATTCACCTCCTTATACATTCATTCATACTTTGAGGCCCTACTGTGAAGCAGGGCCTGCCGTGTTAGACACTGGGAATCTAGCAGGAGACGTGACAGGCAAGGTCCCTGCTCTCAGGAGGCTGTAGCACAGGGTGAGGAAATCGTGACTGACACAGAGGCGGGAGGTAAGTCACTTTCCTAGGTGGGCAGGAAGCCCAATCACCACCCATCTCAGACCCACGATCCCGGCAGAACTCTCTCCTGTTTGCTCTTGAGTGACTCTGTCACCTCCATAAGCCCATTTAGCAGATGAGAAAACCGAGGCTCCTTAGGGGCAGGGATCCTGGCTTCTGCTTTTTGGCCTCTCCCCATACAGTCTGGGAATTGGGGGAGTGGAATCAACTCTCTTCTTCCTCTCCCAGGGCTTGGTCAAGGCTTTGGGGAGGTTCATAGACAAGAAGCATCTTGTGGCATCTCCGATCTGGGAGGGCCACGACCAGACGCTGGGCCTGGGCTGCTGCTCGCCGAGGAGCAGCTGGACTCTGGAATGGAGAGTGCCCGGCCTGGAAGGGGAGGCCCCAGCTCCCATCACTGTGGGGGTGAGCGTGAGGGCTCCTGGGACCACGAGCCGGGCCTCCTCCCCTGGCCCCAGTGGGCTGCTGGAGGCGCAGAGGGCTGCGGCCCCCACTCTGGGCTGGCCGGACTCGGCCTGATCAGAGCAGCGGGCAGAGGGCCCGGTCAGTCTCAAAGGGACACGGGACAGGGCCATATCTGGGCTCTGCCACCCCAGCTCTGACCTCAGGCCCACACGAGGCTCGGGGCAGCTGCCCACCCCCCTACCCCCCCGCCGGGTCCTCCTGGGCTCCGGTTCCCGCCCTCACTGCCTGCGCCCCATTCTCCACGCAGCTGCAGGGGCCCGAGGGACCCAGCTCTGATCCCGCCCCTGCCCAGAACCTCCACGGCGCCCACTGCACCCTGAGGGAGCCCAGGCCTGCGGCGACACACCAGAGACCACAGCCTCTGAGCCAGGCCATGCCAGGTGCTCCCAGGCAACGTCACATTAATCCTCCGACACCCGTGAGTGGCTGATGGTGTCCCCGCTTGTCTGAGTGGGGAGGCCCCGTCAGCATTGGTTGAATGAATGAATGAAGGAATGAAGGAATAAAGGAACAAGCAGTGAGGTGAGACTCCACTCGTGTTCCCGAGAGCACGGGGCCTTGTTCGGGTGCAGAGGAGGCACCTGGGAAGGGCGCGGCGGCAGCTGCCCCCTTTAGGGGCCTCCACTCGGTCCCAGCAGCGAAGCCCTGCCCTGCTCCTCTCCATGGGTCTGGTGGTCACTTTCAAATGGAAGCCGCTCGGCTCACCCGGCCGCTGGACACGCAGCCCTGCTGCTCCCATCGTGTGGCGGGGGAGGGGAGAGAACAGCTGCAGGTCAGCAGAGGGCAGGGCTGCGGGGACAGGGGCTGTGGGACCAAGAGGCGCCATCAGAGGCCGTTTGTCCAGGAGCGGCTCTAGTCCCCAGCGTGGACGTGGCCTTGTGTCCGCACTGCCCAGAGCGGCCGGCGTGGTGAACATCTGCCCAGCTGTCTCTCCCGTCCCTGTGTGAAAGGCGGCAGGACGGGACATGGGCCTGGGGCTGCGTCTGCGCCTGGGAGCCGCACCGTGCTGGGAGCCGCGGGTCCCACCGACAGGGGCGGAGGGGCAGGGCCCAGCAGAGGGTCGGGAGGAGGCGGAGGAGGCGGAGGAGGACAACAGAAGGCGGCTTTCAGGGCTGGTTGTGCAGAGAGTGGACTCTGACGGCAGGGCTGCTGTGGGCAGTTGTCGCCATCTGTGCCTGTTCTGGGCTGACCCAGGGCCAGGTTGCTGCATACAGCAGGTGCTCACCTCTCCTCGGCTGCTCAGCCACTGAGCCAGGAGCTGACCCAGTTCCTCTGGCTCCAAGGCTGTGCCCGCCAGGCCATCTGCCTCAAACACTCGGTGGCCAGAGCGGTCACCTGGCCGGAGTGGTCACCTGGCCACACCTGGTCAGTGGGCGAGAGGCTCCCTCTGTCACTCACCCTCCTGGGCCCGGACAGCCTGCAGGCTTAGCCAGAGGCAGCCCGGGACAAGGGGCTCTCCAGGGAGAGGGTGGGAGGGGACGCTGTGCTCTGACACTGCAGCTGTGACACCTGTCTCCATGCAGGAAAGAGATCGTGGTGGGAAGAGACCTCGGCCTCTTGTCCCTTTCCGCAGGACGCTGTGCACGGGGCAGGCTTCCTGCTGGGTCCAGCGGTGCCGGGTCAGGACGCCCCCACCTGCTGCAGACACCCTCGGCAGCCGCATGGAGGCCAGTGTCAGTGACGGCTGCTGTCAGCGCTGCCCTCGGGGGTCCTCCTCCTCGTGTCCATGGAGACCTGGTGGCGCCTTTTAAAGCAGCTGCAGGGTGGGGAGGAGGCGGCTGTCGGAGGGCCGCGCTGCCCACACGGAGCACCTGCGGGGTCGTCCCTGCCTGGACACATGCTCGTGGCCTTCGGACGTGACAAGGGGGGGGATGATTCGCTGGGCCCAGCAGGGCGCCCTATTGAGCCCACCTGCTGGGGACGGACCCGAGATGCTGCCCAGTGTTCCTGCTCCAGAGCCGCATCCACCCCCGCCCGCCCGGCGCGCTCAGAGGGGACGCGCAGACACTGTTTGTAATTAAAACGTAATTCAATTATCCGCTGAAACGGGTTTCCGAATTAACATTGGAGTGAATCCTAGCTGTGCCGTGCGGTGTCTTTTCTCCCCGCTCGTCAGACGTCGGGACGGGAGGGGGAGGGCGCAGGGGACAACGGCCCTGCCCGGGCAGCTGTCACCAGCCCTCCACAGCCAGGGAAACGCAGCCCAGGACGCCCCAGATCAGAGCGGCCCAGGGCCCTGGGGAGACGGGGAGCAGAGTTACAAAGGCCGAAGCCAGGCTGCAGGGACGGAGCCCTGGCCAGCTGTGTGGCAGCTGTGTGTCCTCAGGCGAGTGACTGAGCCCCTCTGGGCCGCGTGTGGAAAAGGACCGTGATGGTGCCCCTCCGCGGGCTGTTGGGAGAATTCAGTGTCCCCCTCTGGGTCTTCATGCACATGTAACTTCTGAGTGAGGCTGTCCCTGACACCCCAGCCTGGCCCTGCCACCCCCTCCCCAGCCCCCTTCACCCCGTCCTCTTCCTCTTCCTGGCTCCTGCCACCCTCAGACACACCAGGTGTTTTCCTTCCTGGTCACTGTCTGGCGACTGCTGTGGAATGTGAAGTCCTACAACGCTGGCGGTTATTGTCTTTATTTTTCTATTTGTTTATTTTTAGACACAAGGTCTTGCTCTGTCACCCAGGCGGGAGTGCAGTGGCACGATCATAGCTCACTGCAGCCTGGAACTCCTGGGCTCCAGCGAACTCCTTCCTCTGTCTCCCATAATGCTGGGACTACAGGTGTGAGCCGCCGTGCCCAGCCAGGGCCGGGATCTTTGTCTTGCTCTTGCTTTCCTCCTAGACCTCGCAGTAGTTGCTGAGCCGCTGGTGCCAGGGCTGTGCGGGCCCTGTGTGAGCACAGCGCTGGGAAACATGGCACAGATTCCTGCCCTCCCGGAGTTTGCATTTCAAGGCCCCAGACAGACATGGAAGACGGGGATGGTTAAATATGAAATACAAAGTCGGACTGGGATAAGCCTTAGGGAAAAAAGCATGCCGCAGGGAGGGGACAGAGAATAACGGGGAGGTCCGAAGGGTCCTCTGGGGAAGTGGCCGGTGCAGAGGCCTGGAGGAGGGGCCGGGTGGGCATGGGGCGGGGCGGGGTGGGTCAGGGGCTCAGGCAAAGGGCATAGGCAGGGCAGGGCCAGTGCAGGAAGGAAGGGGCCGAGTGGGGACGTGTGTGCGCAGGGCTCCTACTTTGGTTTGTTTTCTCCAGAGAAGCCTCAGCCTGGTCCCCCGGAGTCGCCCAGAGCAGAGCCTTACGCCCGTTGGTCAGACATGGGCCACCACCCGAGAATCTGGGCCAGGGGTGGGGTCCCGTAACCCCCCTGCCCCAGGGGCTGGCAGGTGGCTTCAGACAGACCTGGGGGCAGCAGGTGGAGGGGGACGGTGGGGAGTGAGCCTGGCCCACGTGGCCACAGCCTCAGCAGAGGGGGGTCTGGGATGAAGGGTGGCCTGGGACAGCACGTCCTTAAAACGGGGACGGTGCCCCAGGGGGTCGTTGGGAAGGTGAGGCGGGCTCTGAGAGCAGAGAGCTCAGCGCAGGCGGGTGAGTTTGGGCTGAATCTAATCAGCAGGGAGGCCACTAGGGCCAGAGCAGGAGGGGCTGGAGGGGCTGAGGCCAGAGCCAGGACGGGCGGCTCCTGCGGGGCCTCCAGGGCTCTGTCAGTCCCGAGTGACTGCAGCTCCTGGTCTCACCTGCCATAGGTGGAGAGTAAGGTCGCCAGCTTTGGGCGCCCAGATGGTGGCAGAGCAGAACCCGGTCCTGACTTGCCCTGGGGCATCTCCTTCCTGTGCCCTACAGCCCGCCCCGCCTCCTGCGGCCTCCGGCCTCCGGGCTGCTCTGCCCGGCCCTGGGAGGACGGTCCCGGACCGGGGTCGCGGAAGTCACAGAGGTCCTGCAGGAAGCCGGGGCAGCTCGAGGCCCCATCGACCAAGGGGCTGATCGATACCTTGTCAGCTGAAGCTTCCCGGCAGGGGACCGGTTCCCAGAACCGGGCTTTTAGGACCAGGGCTGTGCTTGGCAGGGACCTGGGGACCCGGCTTCCTGGACGTCCTGGCTGGAGGGTGGACACCGGCCCCTCTCGTGGTTCTGACCGATGCCTCCTCAGCCGGAGTAGGCGGCGCGGCTCTGCAGGCGGGTGAGGACGGGCTCTGCAGGCGGGTGAGGACGGGCTCTGCAGGCGGGTGAGGACGGGCTCTGCAGGCGGGTGAGGACAGGCCACGGCAGGGCGCGGCGGGAGCACTGGGCGGGACCGGTGTCGTCCTTACTTCCCCGTTGTCGGGTGTGCTGACCGTGCCCAGCCCTTGCACACGCCTGCGGGCTGGATTTGCGTCGGGGATGCTGGCTGAGACCCCCGCAGTGGCCCCCACAGACGACTGTTGAGGGTCGGGGGAAGCTGAGCTGGGGAGGCCTCAGGGATCATCGTGGGCCCCAGCAGCTGCCGAGGGACGGGTTTCCCAGGCCCCAGGTATTTTCTGTCCCTTGTCCTCTCCCCTCTCTCTGCCCTCCCCCCCTCTGATCAGGCTCAACTGACTCTGGAGTCCCTGGAGGGTGGGATTATGGTGCCTGGCAGACAGGGGCAGGCTGAGACTCACCCAGCAGCTGCTGGCCCCTGCGGGGTGGGGCTGCTCCAGCTCCTGCCCGGGGAGTTGGGGGCCGCAGCCTCCGGATCCCACCCGGGCACAGGCCGAGCAGGGGCAGTGTGAGCTCACCCCCGGGTGGGCTGTGCTGGGTGCTGGGGACACAGGGCTGACACAGACTCTGTCCCCACTCTGGGGTCATCCAGTCCTGCATCAGGGTCTGTGGCTGAATCTGGTTCAGCAGGAAAGTCACCCTTTCCCTCCTCCTCTCCCTGTGTACTTCCTGGTTCCCAGCCCCCTTCCAGGGGAGGGCAGGAAGGGCAACTGCAGCCCAAACCGGGCTCCTCTTGGGGGTCACATTACAGTCCTGGGATTTGGCCCGTGACAGAGCACAAAGTGATCGGGTGTCTTTCTGGCGTCTGTCACTCGGTCTTGGTTCTCACACATTCGGATTTCTGTCCAGCAGTGAGTCATGCCGGCCCCTGTCTCCGTCTGTTCAGGCTGCCACAACAAAATGCCATCAACTGGGCGGCTTTTGCACAGCACAAAGTCATTTCTCACAGTTCCAGAGAGTGAGGGGTCCAAGATCAGGGCGCCTGTAGGTTTGGTGTGTGGCGAGGTCCTGCCTCCCAGTTCACAGGCCGGTGCCTTGTCACCGTGTCCTTGCAGGGCAGGAGGGGATCGTCCGAGGGGGCTCATCCCGCAGGTGAAGCCACAGACCCCGAGTCCTAACAGATGCATAGTAAGTCTTTGGTAAACAGTGACTGACTAAAAGAATTGATGAATATACAGTGTGCACGTAACACACACACACACACACACACACACTTATACTCATGCGCCCCCGCTAGTCTCTTTTCCTGGCGGTGGGATTCTTGTGTCTGATTACAGGACATGGTTCCTAGGAGGAGCTCCAAACAGTGCCACCCTCAGTCCCCACGAACCGCACCTGCTGAATTAGAACAAGACATCTGCCTCCCCCTGCTCCGGGCACGGAGGAGCATCGAACCTCGGCGGATTTATGCCTCGTCCTCATTTCTCTACCCCAAGGGTGTCTGGGGAAGATTTATGGGAGAAACAACAGGATGAAACCTGAGTTACTTAGAGCTTGGGGACATCAACCACAGCATCTTCAGAGAGAAGGAAACTTCTCTGCGATGGCAACTGTCCAAGTGGATAAGGTCACGTGGTGCCCTGGGGAAGCCCCGGCCCGGCTCCTCCCCTCCCGGGTCCCACCTGCCCTTCTCCAGCCCAGCCCCGCCTCCTCCCAGGTGGCTCCTCTGGGCTCCTGGGTCCCAGGAAAATTCTTCTCAGAGCCCTGAGGCAGCCCTGCCCGCTGTCCCGCTGGGGCCGATTTCCGATTTCCTCTCGGAGCCTCCTCCCTCCTCCCCAGGCTCCTCCCCAGAGGCAGGGGGCTCTCCTTGCAGGTTTTCCTAACAGGGGACTGAGTATCCAGCACATCACGGATGGGACCACAGTATGTCACAATATGCCATGAAAGCAAAGGCACAACTTTAAATCCCTGTTAATATTTAAAAGTAATGAAATTATTCTCCAAGTCTTATAAAACATTCACATATCAAGGGTCCCTGGCATATAGAAACATCACACACGTATACATTGACAATGCAACTCTGTAGAAACTCACATGAGACACACAGTTAATGCCGGTGCTGGAACAGACACGACGATGTTTATTCACACTGGCTTTGCTTCTCTTTCTAGAGTTTAGGAGGCAGTTTTGGAGTAATTTATTTATCTGACCCAAGACGGTGACAAAAGGTGATGGGAAGCCTTGGCTTTGGAATCTGTCAGGGTGTGCCTGGGGTCAACTCCACGTCTGCTCTTGAGAGCTGTGCGACCTTGGGGAAAACGTCAGAGTCTCTGATTTCTGGGGTCCATCTGTAAAACAGAATTAGCATGAGACCCTCCCTCAGGGCTGTCCAGAGAGCCAGTGAAGCCGCACGTGTGAGCGGGTGGCACCGGACGCGGCGACTGCCCATTCAACCAGAGGTCTTCATCGCCTCTCAGCTGCTCAGCCACACCCCAGCCCCCGCCGAACTCCCAGAAAGAGATGCCTTAATAAATCTTCATAAATAGCTAGCATAATAGAAAATGCTCCTAGATATATTTTTTAAAAAGAGTGTATTGATTACACAACTGGCCCCAATATAATAAAAAGTTACAAAGAATAGATTAAAAATACAACTCTCTCTGGACCATAAATTCGACCTGAAACTTGCACCTGAGCTAGGGCAGACGTTAAACATTTCATGAATGCTTGTTAGGCCTCTTCAAATGTCGTACAAGGCCTGGTGACATGTCCCTTTCTGTGGGTGATCCAGTTCCCGGCAGACACGTCTGTTGCCCCCACGCTGATCTGTGTTTATGGAATTTGTAATCCGCCTCCCACCTCCGCCTCCCGCCCTGATGAGGCAATTTCCACTTGCTCAGGACTCAAGTCCATCCACTCAGTACACATTTATGGGGCCCCTACTCTGTGCTGAGCAAGGTTCTAGGCAAGGGGGACGAAACACTGAAAAGAAAAAACAGATAGAAAAAATCACTGCCCTCTTGAAACGTCTGTGCAAACAAGCCAAGAGGCAGGAGGAAAAGATGGGAGGGAGGGAGGGAAGGAGGAAAAACACGCCCCATGCATTGCAGGCTTGCTGTGTGCCGGGCCGAGTGTCCGCACACACTGTCTCATTGTACTTCCCAGATACCCGGGAGGTGCGAGTGCTATTATGTGCCCCATTTCACAGATGTGGAAACTGAGACCCAGAGAGGGTAAAGTCATTGCCCAGAGTTGCCCAGCTAGGAAGTGGTGGAGGGATGAATTGAACCCAGATCCATCTGGACTCAAAGCCTCTCATAGGTCTGGAATGAATGAATGAATGAATGAATGAATGAATGAATGAATTCCAGAGTGAACGAATGAGTGAATGCATGAGCAAACACATCCCAGTGTAAGGTCCCTGCACATGGAGACCCCATGCGGGCTTTTTAAGACCTGGGGAGAGTCTCGGTCCCTCTCTACCTGCCCGCTACCTTTCTAATTCCCAGGAATTATTTAGGATGAGTATCCAGAGGTGTGGCCCCTCCGCCACACCTTGCCCCAGCTGCAGAGAGCACGGTGCCCGGACGGTGTGGTGGCCCCCTGGCCACTCTGCAGTCTGTTCTCCACGGACTGCCAGGGAGTCCTGTGGACACCTGAGTCCGACCAGGCCCGCGTCTGCTCAGAGGCCTCCACGGCTCCCACCTTACCTGGAACAAAAGCCAAAGTCCTTACCAGGGGCCACGGCCCTGAATGATCTGCGACCCCCGCTCCTGGCACTTGCCCCTGCCACTCTGCTCAGCCGCTGGGCCTCATCGCTCTTCCTCTGCCAGCCTGGACTCCCGCCCACTGTGCTGTTTTGTCCCTGTTCCTGCCTCTGCCTGAGCGCTCCTTCCCAGGTGCCCACCTGGCTCCCGAGTCAGCTCCCTCAGGTCTTTGCTTAAGTGTTTCCTCCTCCACGAAGCCCACCCTGACCACCAGATTTCTAAAGCAGCCTCATCCCGTCCTGCTCTTTCTCTGCTTAGCACTCGCGACCACCTACATTTGCTCCCATATCCCAGTTGCTGTCTGTCCCTCACATGGAACGCCAGCTATGGGGGAAGGACTTCTTTTCCTGTCTCACCTGCATTTCCCCTTCCTGGAATCCCTTTCATATCATTTAAAACAAAAAACATCAACCACAAAAGCCTTCACCCAGCATGTGCTTGGGGCCCGTCGAATGTCTGCCTCAGTCCCGCACAGACGCGGCTTGTCAGCAAGGCCCGGGGTTGCTGCTGGCTCCAGCTCTCAATTCTCTCTGTTTCATCTAATTTCTGTGACTATTGTTGCCCGCATGACTCTCCCCAACACCGTGCTATGAGCACCTCACTTGAACACACTGAGTCCTCAGAAGCCGGGAGTTCCTTAAGACAGTAGACACCTTCCACCTATATCTCTCCCACCCGGAGAGTCCAAGCAGCACGCGGGGCAGGCAGGGCCCCGGCCTGCCTCGCTCACCTCTGTGCTTTGCGCGCAGGGAACAGTGGCTGTCTGCGGTGGGCGTGGCTAATCGCTGAGGACTGGATGGATGTGAGAGAGAAACGGCCACTGAGGACGGTGCCCGGTGCCCGTAGCCGGGTGGGGGGTCCCGTAGGAAGGACGAGGAAGAGCCACCCGGAGAAGATGTGGGGAAGCAGCAAGTGCAGAGTGCTGGGGCGGAGTGAGCGGGGACGTTGGAGGGACAGTGAGGAGGGCAGCGAGGCTGCCGTGGAGTCGGCAGGGAGAGAGTCTGAGAGGTTGGCAGGGGCCCGACCATGCAGTGGCATTGGCGGCCATCATGGGGAGTTTGGATTTTATTCTGAGGGCAGTGGGGAGTCACTGAAGGTGTCAGAGCAGGGGAATACAATGATTTGATTTACATTTTGAAACCTCACTCTGACTGCATGGATTGAGGGAGACCCGAATGGACACGAGAGCAGGGAGGAGGCTGCTGTAGTTTTCCCAAAGGCAGGGGTGGGCTCAGGCCGGCCGGGAGGCGGCGGCTTCCAGCCTGGCTGTGTGGAGTCCGCGTTAAGGGCGGGGCAGCCCCCGCTAGCTAACGGCGAGGTACGGCTGAGTCTGTGGCTCTTGCTCCCTGGACACATTCACTTGCAGACCTCGTAGGAAGAAGAGGCGGCTGGACCTGTGCCCTCCCTCTCCAAAATGCCATCACAACGTAATCCCAGTGGCCCCCAATCCCATACTCCCCAGATGCTCCCAATGGGGTATTTACCCCTGGGCCTCCCCGCTGGGTCTCCCTTCTCAGAGGAAGCCTCCACCCGGAGTTTGCACAGGGCCATAAAGGTCGTGTTGGTTTCTGCTAATTGCAACAAATGACTTTCCTTTCACAGGACGTGCCCATCAGCACTGAGCACATCCACGTTAATTGGGCTGGAGGAGGAAAATTACGTGCTTCAATTTGCCATTTTTCAGGATGAAAAATGGGAAAGGAGAAAATCACCCAGCCGAGCAGGGTGAGTGCCGACACCGCCTCTGGGGAGCAGAGCCTCTGGGGAGGGGCAGAGGCTTCTGGGGGAAGCAGCCGCAGGCCCAGGAAGGGTGGTGATGAGGTCGGGGCCCCAGCACCTCCAGCAGCCCTTCATATGCATAAAGTGTTTAAATATAATGAAGCACATTTCAAAAGCAGGGCTCGCCCAATGTTCATGCCTGCCTTGTGGGGTACCACTACCCGGACCCCTAAATAAGATGGGGTGACCTAAAGTTGCAAGGACTGGAAGTTCAAGTGCAACAGACTTAAGCAAAAATGGGAATGTATGGGCTCCTAGAACTGAAAAGTCCCAAGGGTGGGGCAGGCTTTAGGAAGGGCTGGATCCAGGGACATAGTCAGTTTCTCCTAGCCTTGCAGCACTGCTCTCTCCTTATCCCTCACTGGTGGGAGATGCCACCTGAAGGTGCAGTAACTGCAGTGGGATGACCTTCCCTTCCTGTGGCACCTGAGGACCTCTCAGGATTCACATGATTGGACTAACCTGGCCACGTGCCCATCCCTGACCCAAACACTGAGGTCAAGGCGGTGGAATTTGGTCATGCCCAGGGCTACCCCCTGAGGTGCTGTGCTGTGGGTTAGGAAAGGGTGCCCCTTCCTTGCAGGAGAAGCAGCCCTGTGCCAGGCGCAGGCTTGGTGGGCAGGGGTGTCAGCCCCTTGTGTGTAACACCACCTGCCCAGGTGTACCTGGTAGTCTTGGACATGCAGATTGCCAGGCCTGGGTCTTGTGCCCGGCCTGGGGCTGGGTGTGGGGGTCCTCCCCACCCACAGCACATGGGCTGAGAGTGGAGGATGGAGGGTCCCCAGTCCCCATAGGACAGTCAGGCTAGAAGGCAGAATTTATTCATCTACCACCTACTTAGAAAACACTCACTATATACAGTGAGGAAAGAACTTACAGCCTAGTTTGAGGGTTGTCTTGGTCTATTTTCTGCTGCTATAAGAGAACACCACAGACTGGGTAATTTGTAAAGACGGTTCTGGAGGCCAGGAAGTCCAAGAATGAGGGGTGCATCTGGTGAGGGTCTCCGTGTCTCATCCCACGGTGGAAGGCATCGCATGGCGGGGAAATGCATGCACACAAGAGACAGAGGGCATCAGGTGGCTGAACTCCTGCAGTAACTAAGCCACTCCTGTGACAATGGCACTAACCCATTCGCAAGGGCAGTGAATCTTTTAATACCATCACAATGGCAACTAAATTTCAACACGAGTTTTGGTGGGGTTTTTCAAACCATAGCAGGGGTATAGACAAAAAAGTCAATTAATTTATTAGTTATGTAAGAATCATGATGATAGTGCTGTGGAGAAAAATAAAGCAAGACAGGAGTATAGGGCATGCAGTGTCAGGTGGGATGGGTGGGGAGGGTGTCACCAACAAGGTGATATTTGAGTAAAACTTGAAGGCAATAAGTCCTGTGGATGTCTCAGGAAATACAATGCCCAGAAGGAAAGCAGATGCACAGGCTCTGGGGTCAAACATGAGCTGACCTGAGCCCCAGGCTGCGGTATGACCCTAGCACTACCACCCCCCTACCCTGGAGAAGTTCTGTTCAGATAGATTTGATCTCATTCCAGCTCCTGGGCCTGGGTTTTGAGGTTGCCCTGGTGCTCTGGCTCCTGACCTTCCTGGTGTGCAGAGAGCACATGTACACTGGGTGTGCAAGTGTGTGCAAGTGGGGGGTGTGGTGGCTGGCACGGTCCTGCACTGTGTTTGCTATGTGTGCATGTGGGGTGGAATATAGACATTGTGTGAACATGGTGTGTACACAGGGATCATATGAGGCTTCTATATTGAGATGTTTCATACTATGCCCGGTGGCATTTATTTTCCCAGACCTGCGCCATCTCCAAAGCTGGTGAAATGCTACCAGCTAGATATTCACCAAGGCCTGCCCGACACCAGACTCTTAGGGAGACAGAATTAGTTCTCTTTCACTGTCCCGTCGGCGCTAATCCCTCACCCCCACCCCTGCAAGGAAAAGCGAGGCCTGGAGTCTCCTGCCATTTCTCCCCTGCCTCAGGCCCCTTCTACCCCGAGAACAGACAACTGCGAGGAGTGGAGCTCACAGGCCCTAGGGAAGTTCTTCTGAGCAAACAAGACGGAGCCCTCCCGTTTCACATTAATTTAATAATGATGACGGTAATAAGATAGCGACCATTTACTGAGTGATTACCACATCCTGGGCGCTATTCCCATTACCTCAGCACACATGATCTCACTCAACCTCCCCAAAGCTCAGTTCAGCACTTATCGCTCCCACGCACCATTTACAGAAGAGGAAACTGAGGCACAAGGGGCTCAGTGACTGGCCCAGGTTGTGAGCCGTACAGGCAGGATTTAAACTCAGGCAGATCAGCTCCAGGCCTAAATTATCTTCAAGTTCTTATGCAGGAACACATGCTCAAGAACAGCCAAGAAAACTAAGAGGAAAGGAAGGGCAGGGTCAGCCCGGGCGGGGCCGCTTGTCTCGGCAGATTTCAGAGCCCCTGTACGCAAAGCAACGTGGCACTGACGTTGGGCTAACCAAACAGAACCAAGCACGGCAAGACAGGGACTCCAGAATAAAATCCCAGGAGAGATGGGACATTATATTCTTGCCAGGCTCTGTGCCAGGTGCTGGGGTGCACAGGGGTGAGGACACAGGCCCTCTCGCTTGAGGGTCGCCCGGTCCCAGGGAGACTGGCTGGGATGATCAACAGATCATCTCAGCGGGGGTGGTGTGTGCTAATAGGCTGGTCTGTGGGGTGTTAAAAGCCTGGATGTTAAAAACTGTGACCTCCCAGAGGTCAGGAACTGTGACTATGTCCTTGAAGTCTAACAACAGGCCAGGCCCGCCAGCACAGAGGACACACCGTGGTGTCCTGCACCGCCGGCTGCAGAAGCATCAGTGCAGGAAGAATGAGGCCTGGATCAGTTCCTAACTCTGGGACTCGGGGAAAGTGACTTCTCTGAGTCTGTTACTCCATTTTAAAGATGAAAATGCTAATAAATAGCATCTGCCTCATATCGCTATAATGAAGTTTAAATGAGTTGACACGTTGGTTATGCCCAGCACGTAGTTGTAAGAAAGACCCCATAAAAACCAGTCATCATTATTGTTGTCATTTCTATCATTATCATAAATTAATGATCAGGATATGATCACTCCAGAGTAGTAATATTTACTTCTTATGGAGTGTGGGGTGTGGGGATCCCCATCCTGAGGCACTGTGGGGCTTTTCCCAGACTGTTTTGCAGACATCAACCAATTTCACAGACAGGAAAGCGGAAGTGAAGGCTTGGGACTAGCATCCAGGGTGACCCACTGAGGCAGAGGCAGGGATGCAGGGGTGAGGAGTGACTGCAGCACCGCAGCCTGGAGGAGACAGGGAGCGAAACAGAGAAACCCCACTGTGTCACCTCCCGCAGGGGCCTCCAGCCCAGGCCGTCTGGTGGCACACAGGGCTCCCTAGGGTGCCTGAATTTGCACTTTCCACCCTCATTTGTCTAGAGAAGCAGGGAACATTGTTTTGGAGACGGGGCCAGTTTTTCAAGCAGCTCAACTCCCCATCCCTTACCCAGATGGGCCACAGGCAGTGTTCACTGGGTTAGGGACTCATGGGGTCCTGCCACAGCCTTTACTAAGAGTCTGTCACCTGGGCTGAGTTGTCACGTGGGCAGAGTTGTCCCCTTCTCAGGAAGATGAACTGAATGACAGGATTTTCAGTGAGTGGCTCTGTGTTCCCCTGTGACCACAAGTTCTGCACCTCCCTGGAAAAAGTGCTGCCTAGTCCCAAGGGGTGCTGTGCACCCCACCCTGCTGTGTCCAGCTGTCTGGCCCTTACCCAGGCTGGACTTCAAGCCTCCACACCCATCGTGCTGGTTCTCTTGGCCCCTGCCTTGATGGCAGTGGTTTTCAACAGGTGTTGCAGATAACAGTTTTCCAGTGGGAACCATCTTAGCTCTCAATTGTCCCTGGCGTCTTGGTTAGGGCCCTTCTCTCCCAACATCTTGGGCACTTGCCATCAGCTGAGACAGGGACGCCTGCGGGAAGAACCGGTTCAGGTGGGGAGTGTGGGGCTCATTTTGGGACATGCTAAGTGTGACGCGCCTATAGCCTTCCCAGCGGGGCTGGTTAGTAGCCCATGGAGGCCTAAGTCTGGAGATACGAGAGAGAACGTCCAGCCTTGTGGGGTGTGGGCACCAACACCTCCTAAACTCCCTGGGCCCCAGGCCCGACACAGGGTGGGAGGGGCAGGGAGTGGTTACTGTCTAACCCTCACTATTTCCCAAAGCTTCCCTGGAGCTCAGAGGCAGTCCTCTCCTCCCCTCCCCCACCCACCGCTCATATTTACTCTTCCAAGGTCTGCCTGCTAAGTGCACAGCTGGTTCGTGAGATACACTAATAAACCACCGTGTCATCACATTAGCAGTTTCTAGCTGAGAATCTCCCTTCTTCCTCTGGGGGTGGCAGGCACCCAAACACAGCCCCCATCATCAGGCTGTTAGCACCGCTAATTGCTTTCTTCCAACAGGGAGGCGAGTGGTTTCCTGAGGCTTCTACAGACTCAGAATTGCTGACGTGGCTTTCAGAACAGTCCCCCTGCCAGGCTGGTCTGGGTGCCCCAAGAGACTTTTGGGATCAGCCAGATCCTACTCCCCCCCGCCCCCAAACCATCTGACCCGAAGGGGAGCCTGAGCTCCAGAGAGGGGCTGACTGCTCCCATTTTGCAGATGAGAATACTGAGGTAGAGTGATGACGCACTCAAGTCGGCTCAAGGCTGGGACTGGAGGCCAGGCCTCTCATCTCCCACACCAGGGCTCCTTCCAGGGCTCTGCCTGCCTCTTCTCTGCTGGGTAGAAAGACCTTTCTCCCCAGGATGATGGGTCACATAGTGAAAGGACACTGGATGTGGCTGCTGGTGCTTAGAAAGGGAGGGAATCGCCTCTTGGTTCGTCCACCAAGTCCTGCCCATCCTTCCCAGGTTCTCCTTCAGGAGGCCCGCTTGTTTCCAGGGCTCTCTCAACACGCCTGTGGGCTGTGCCTCCCACGGCCCAGTGTCCTTGGCTAACACTCCTCCCTGCGCTTCTGTGGGGCTGCCCGCGCCTGGTGCCGGGGGTTGACAGGCATTATGCCTGGCCACCCCGTGTGTTCCCCTCCCAGCCATGCTGGCTGGTCAGACACAGACATGTCCCCACATTGGTCCAACGCAGGCCTGCCGGGACGTCAGGGGGAAGCGAGGCCCTCCTTCCCTGGGGGTCTGCAGGCTCTGACAGCTAAGCCAGCCTGGAGCTGCAAGGGCGGGCAGGGTGGCGCCACACGGGGAGCTGCTTGGGAAGCCGGCCCAGGTGAGAGCACCTGCCATGACCTCTGGGTGAAAAGTGACGGAAACGCACTCAGGCTGGCTCAGCGGGAAAAGAGAATTCGCATGAAGCTCAGCTCCATCCTGGGACGCTGAGGGCTCTGGCGGACTCCCGCCCCAGCTCTGGGCTCGCCTTGCCTCTCTGTCAGCTTCGCTCTCGGGCTGACGTCCTCCTGGAGTGGCAGGGCAGGCCTCCGTGGCGGCCACCCGGCAGGAGGGGCGTCCCTCCCGACGCTCAGGCCAGACTCCTGCGGCTGCCGCCACCGCACCAGCCTGGGTCCCACGTGCAGCCCCGGGCCAATCACTGCAGTCAGGGGAGCAGGATGCTCTGACTGGCCAGGTCTTGATCATGTGACGGCGAGGCCCGCCAATGACTTTGCTCTGCCTTCTGCCCCCATGATTCACTGAGAACTCGTGGGTTGCTTAGCAACCAGCTGGGGGGGGGGCCTCTTTTCTCGCATCGGGAATGGGAAAGTCTCGCCAGGGTCCTGCGTGTTGAATTATGGGGCGCCCCAGTGCTTGGATGCCAGCCGGCTGTGGCTCCTCGGAGGAGAGGACAGCAGGGTGACCTTGGTTCAAATCTTGGCAGTGACGCTCACTAAGAGACCTCGGGCAAATTAGTCCGTGTCATTCCCCTCTTATGTAAAACGGAGATAATAATAGCACTTGCTTCACAGGGCTGATGGAGGGTCACGTAAAGTGATTTGTGGTGGTGACTTTGAGAATGCCTCCCCCACAGCGGGGCTCAGGGAAGACAGCTAACTGAACAAGGATGAGGAGGAGGTGTCCATCATCTCATCTGGGCAGCACCGCCTCCCCATCTCCCCTGCAGTTCCCTCCCCACTCCCCCATGCTCCTGTCTCCCTCCATCCCCTTCCACCTCTCCTTCTCCCAGGTAACACGAGGGGGCAGATCTCCAATGTGGACATCAGCCCATGTCTCCTCCTCATTAAACGTTCCTTAATGACCTTCATGGCCTTCGGGTGAAGTTCAGGGTCCTTGCCCTGGTGAGCAAGGTCCTATAAGATCTAGCCCTGCTCACCTCACTGCAACCTCACAGGGCCTTTCCCATTTCTAAATACACCAAGCTCAGTCCAGCCTCAGAGACTTTGTCCTTTGCCAGTCCCACTGCCTGGAACAGTCTTCCCCTCAGATGTCACCGTGACTCCCTCAGTTCATGTGGGCCTCTTCTCAAATGTCATCTCCTTGGAGATGTCTTCCCTGAGCACCTAATCTAAGGTAAACCACCTCTCCCCATTCCTTTCTGTCCCTAGCAGTCAATTGTTCATTTCTTTGTGTCACTTATCATTATCTGAAATGGTCTTAGTCTCATGTTTGTGGTTTTATTGCATGTAAGGGATGTTTGGGCCTTGGAGGGCACAGCGTAGACAAGGTGAATCAGAAAGGAATGAAGCCAAGTCTTAGGGCACAGACTGGGGTCCCTCTTCCTGGATGATGAAGGAAATGCTTTGCTGGACCCAATGAGCCAGCTAACGAGGTCCTCAGACACATCTGCTTTTACCATATGTTAGCATTGCCAGTTCTATTGTCATGTCAATAGAACCTCTAGCATGTACTCTGTGTCTGGCTTTTTTTGCTCAGCGTAGTGCTTTTTAAGATTAATCCATGCATTTGTGTGCCAGTAGTGTATTCCTTCTCATGGCTGAGCAGTAAGTATCCTTTGTACAAAGGAACCTTGATTCGTTCGTCCATTCTCTCCCCAGTACCTAGAGCTGTGCCTAGCTGCTGTGGTTTGAACGATGGTGTCCCCTCCAGAATTCATGTTGAGACTTAATCCCCAATGCAGCAGTATTAAGAGGTGTGGTCTTTGGGAAGGGACTTAGTCATGAGGGCTCCACCCTTGAGAAGGGAGTGAGTGCCCTTGTAAAAGGGCTCAAGGTTAAGGGAGCACCCTCTTGCTGTTTTGTCCCTGCTACAACGTAAGGACACAGTGTCCCTCCCTCCAGAGGATGCAGCAAGGAGGCGCCATCTTGCAAGCAGGGAGCAGGCACCGACCTGGCACTGCCTTGATCTTGAACTTCTCAGCCTGGCAACTGTCAGAAATAAACTTCTATTGTTTATAAATGTCCCGTGGCAGCACAGAGTGGCAGCACAGACGGATGAGGACACCAGCGCATAGGAAGGAGCGAATGCAGGAGGTAGCAAGGAGGCTCCATCTTCGTTCCTAACGAGAGGAGAGACGAGGCAGCAGAAACCAGCCCAGAGCCTTGCTCCTGCTCCAAAACGTGTCTCAGCAGCGAAAAGGACAAAAGCTGGCTCCCCACCCGACCTGCCAGCCCCTGCTCCAGAAACTCAGGGGAGGCCCCCACCTGGTGAGTAATTCACCTGCCGTCAGCAGCCCCAAGTGCTGCGTTGGCAGAAAGCAAACAGCCCTCAGAACCGTTTCTTACTTTTAATCTGCTCAAAACCAGGGTCTTAAAGGGCTTACTTTTCCATCCTACTAATTTTGGAGGCAATTAGCTGTTGGGTGTTCTCGCCTGCCGGCTCCCTCCCGGCCTGTCTGCCGGCTCGGCGTGCTCACCTCTGCCCAGGTACGCCAGCTGTGGAGAGCTCCGTTAATCTGCTCTTAAACTGCAATTTTTAACAAGCCTCGTAAATGACAGAGGCATTTGTGCATAAATAGCACTTGGTAAGCCTCCCCTTGGAACACTAACCTGACTTATTAAAAATGCTGGAACTCCTAAGCTTTCTATATCAACATCTTTAACACAAAAATATATGATCTAATCCCCTCCTGCAGCCCCAGCCCTAACAGACAGACAGCTCTCCGACGGGAGGGAAGGGCCTGGAAGACATCACCGTGGAGAGCAAAAGAAACCAGTTATTAAATATCTTCAGTGCAGCCCAGTGAGCCAACCCAAACTTGTTTTCTCCAACGTTAGCCTGGGGACGAGTGGAGAAAAACAGACACGATTTCTTTCCATGACCAAACCTTCCCACCTAGCCGGGCCGGGGATGACCTCACCCTAACACTTCTCTCTGTGACTCTGATGGGCTGGGGGGCCCCACCCCAACCGATGGAGTTAAGTTTCGGTACCCAAACCGCCCAGCCAGCCAGGAACTCAGTGTTCCCCAGGCATCTCCCTATTCAGACACCACTCGCTCGTGATTATCGTTCCTGCTGGTCTCAGCGCACTGGGTGTATAATTATTTAGCTAATACTGTTTTACAATTGACTCACCTTTTAAGTTTTAGCCTCAAACCCAGCAATACTGTCTGTGAAATTGTAGATTTAATGTGTTAGTTATATACGTTTAAAAAAAAAAAACTTTAAAGAATAAATAGTGAAATAAACAATGCTTGCTGGCATACCACCCACTACTGGTGTTCACATGCAACACACGCGGGAAATGCTGGATTAATTCCATTTTCCAAAGTTTAGAGCAAGTACTGTTTCCTGGAGGAAACCTTCAAGGGTGTCTGGAACTTTGAAGATTCAAAGGTAAAGGCTGAATTTTCCAGTCCAAAGACATCAGCCCAAGAGACTGGCACCAGCTGGGAGCTCACGCACACAGAGTACCCTCTAGACCAATCCCTGCAGCCCCTGCTCGGGAGAAGGGGTGGCCAAGGAACGTTGTGTGTGTGTTTCATTATAGGTAAATAATTGCACTCAGTGATGTCAGAATTCCTTGGGAAAGTACAGGGAGAGAGGCTGGGACAGTGAGAGTAATGACACTGGATCAGTAAACCCAGGGTCTCAACTTAAATCTGTGTCTAACACTGTCACCTCCCGCCTGGACAAGTCTCCTAAGTGGCCCTCCAGCACCCACCCTTGGCCCCCAGCCTGAGTTCTCCATTCAGCAGCCAGGGTGGCCTTTCAACATAGTAACTCGTCATATTTCATCACTCAAAATCCTCTGAGACTTCTGCTCTTGTTCAGAAATTTAAAAAAAGCCAAGTCTTTCCTATGGCCTGTAGGCCCTCCGTGATCTGACCCCCCTTCCTCCCCTCAACCCCAGCCCCTAGCACCCCCTACCTCGCCCACTCCACTCCAGACACAGGGCCTCCTTGCTCTTCCTCAAACACCCAGAAATGCTGCTGTCTCAGGGCCTTTGCACGTGCTGGCCCCTCGGTCTGGATGGCTCTTCCCCTCTGTCTGCCTGGCTTGTTCTCGTACTTCAGTCTCTGCAGACGCCACCTCCTCTGAGAGGCCCCCCCTGCTCCCACCATCTAGGAGAGAACCCTGCCGCCAACTAATGACTCAGTCTGCTTTGTATTTCGCAGCATGTGTATCTCATGCGTGCACGTCTAGTATACATATGTCTGTGAGTGAAAGCAAGGAAAATGTGCACCAGCCTGAGGGTGACACTGGCCTCTGGGGTGGGGTGTGTCGGTGGCGGGTGGGGAGTGAAGGACGCTGTTTTTTCAGCGTTTGAAGGGCAGTTGTATCACTCGTGTCGTGAAGAACACGGGGGAGGCGTCAGTGACCAGGAAGAAAACTGCCTGGAGATGAGTCCGCCTGGGGAGACCCAGGTGCCCAGGCGCCCCATGCCTGGAAGGCCTCACCTTACTGTGCCTCATCTACAAGTGCACATGGCATGGCTTGCTTTGGGTCCAAGATTTATTTTAAGTATACATTTCTAGGATAATTCTAGAATTAGTCTAAGAATAATTTCCAGGATATTCTAAGTCACGAAACCCAGGATGGTGGGGAGGTCAGAGAAGTCCTGGGCTTGAATCCTGACTTGCTATTCTCTGTGTGACCTGTGTAAAAGGACTTAGTCTCCCCGTGCCTCAGTTTCCTCATCTGTAATGTGGGGAGATAACAATGTCACCCCTTCAGATTGTTTGGAAAGTTGTTGGGGAGGCAGGGGTTTTTCAGCTGAGCCTGAGGACTAAATGGACATATGACAACAGGGAAAAAGCAACATTAATTTAATACAAGTTTGATTTGGCACGAGAGCCTTCATAAGGAGATGGAGACCCAAAGACGCAGTTAGAGCTAAACTCGCATGTACTGAACTGGACAAGGCGTAGAAGCTGTGAAAGAGCAATGGAACTGTGCAGGAAGAAGATTAGAGCCATTTTAACAAGGTTGTGCAGAACTCTCTGGTCTCAATTTCCAGCCCTTGATGAGAAGGACGTTACCCTCCTCCTAGTAGAGGGAGGGGTTCCTCCACGTGGGAACCCCATCTCCTGCTTTTAAGAAACAGCATGAAGATCAGAATGATCTGCACCAGCTGCTTTTCAAGTGCCCTTAGCTCAAAACAGTCACTAGGCCACGGTGACATATTTCGGGGGGGCACATTCTTAACTCCTTCAAAATCAATTTAGAAAATACATGTAAAGCCTAAATGTAGTCCAATGCTGGGCATATAGTAAGCACTTAATACATGCTAGCCTTTTAGGGTCTTGAATGCTGTAGCTCGCAAGTGTAGCACAACAGTGTAACCCAGTCTGTCGTCTGAATCCTTTCCACAGATGGGTTTGTTTGGGACCCTCTCCCAAGGTGATAACATTTTTTTTTTTCTTCCATTAGCTGTTAACATTTTTTTTTTTTTTAAATTGAGAGACTTTGCTTCTGGCTCTGCTTGCAAATTCAGAAGACTGGCTCGAGCTGTCCCCCTTTCCATTAGGGACAGTCACAGGGAAGGTGTGTAGTAAGGGCTGCTTTCTGAGCTGGGCACACCCTGTCCTGTCCCCGTGATCTCCACCATGCCCAGTGCTCTCATCCGCCTTCACCCCAGCGCCACGGACACTCACCGCGCCACCTCTGGCTCCGGCTCAAGACGTCAGAGGGTAAACTTGCAAATAGAACTCTCTAGTGTGGCACAGAGGCAAGTTCCAAATGAGCCCGCAGGCGTGCACAGGAGGAAAAGAGGCTGCAGGCCTGGTGTTTGGAGGGGTGGGTTCAGGTTCAGGTTGGGGTGGGCCGCGAACTGCACAGGCAGGGGTGGGGCCTGAGCATGTGTAGAAACACTGGAACGTGTCTGTGTCCTGCCCTGACCTCGGGCCGCTGGTGTCCACCCACCAGGCTGGGATTCACCTGGCCCTTGAGTATCCTCAGAATGTCCACAATGCCTGAGCTGGTGAGGTGCCCGCCCACGCCCATGGTGACACCTGTTTACCAGCTGCAGGAGGCTGGGCCCCACCGGACCAACCTGACTGCCCCGGAATAGCTCTGTCTTCAGAAGGGGGTTAGAGAAAGGCCCAGGGGACAAACAGCAGCCATCAGAAAACACATCTGGGCAGAGGGAACCCTAACATGTTCACCGCTGCTGGTGGCAACTCTTGCTGGGCCTATAACTCAATCCAGAATGATTACACTGGATTCCTGGGATCTGCTTCTCTGATGAGGTTTCCTCCCAAAGGTGCAAAGGCGAAACATTCCTGACTCTTGGATATTACAGAACAAAAGCAAGCATTATTGCTGGTTTTAGCTACAAAAAGCCAAGGCTCAAAATTGGTTCCTAAACCCAGAATCAATTAAGCAGATGTTGAAGAGGCGGTATTGAAATTCGTTAACGAACATTGGACTGAAAAATCAAAAAAATCATGCTGTGAATTTTTTCTCCTCTGCCTTCTGCTGGCTCTGGTTGCAGAAGCTTCTGGGAGAAATTCTGATACGGCCGTTGTCAGCGAGGGGAGGGGCCTGGCAAGGGCAGGGCTCGGGTGTCGTCAGTGGGACTCAGCAGTCCTGGGTCACTTCCTCTCCGAGCAGCTCCACCCACAAATTGTCCTTTCCTGACCGTTTCACTCATGATTCAGTAACATTCTATCCTCGGCAGCAGGATTTCTGGTCAATGAGGCGTAGCCTATATGGTGTGTTTCCAAGGCTGAGGAGTTGGCCACCCAGAACCAGACGACCAGCCACCGGCCTGGGGGGCCACGTCTGCAGAGCAGCTTAATGTCCACCCTTCCCAATCTGTTCCTCCACCTACTGCCTGCCTCTCTCTGTAAATGGCACCGCCATCTGCCCAGTGGCTCAGCCCCAATCCTAGGAGTCATCCCCAATTCTCCTTCCTTCTCCACCCACTTGCAACCCATCATCGAACATTACCTGCCAACATTACAGACAGAACCAGAATCCACCCACCTCTCTCCCTTTGGCACCCAGCCCTGCTCCACGCCTGGACCACAGCAGCTGCCAGTAGGTCTCTCTGCTTCTGTTCTTGTCCCTGGGCCACCCCCTCTCCACCTGCAGCAGAGATGAGCCTTTGAAGACATGATGCAGATGTTATTCACCTGTATAGAGCATGCCCATGAACTTCCGTTGTTCTTAGAATCAAATCCAAAGCCTCTTGCAGGGCCCTGCATGATCTGCCTCTGTTGCCCCTCTGCCCTCATCCCTCACCCCTTGCTCCCCTGCCCCTGGGGTGTGTACATGGGGGACAGTGATTGTCCAGGCCTGGATCATGCAGTTAGTATGCAGCCCTTCCATGTATAGTGGGGTGTTCTCATGGAATAAAATTCTGAAAGTCAAAAAATTCTTTTTGCCTTTAATCTGGTTCGGAAGCACACTTGAAATGTAGCAATCTCAGGTGTTCTCTAAAAGACACCTCATTTCTACCTGGTGGGCACAGGCAGGAGAATGAGCAGTGGAGAACCCAGCCCTGCTGTTCTGGGGCTTGGGGTCTGCCTGGATCCTTAATGCGCAGACATGAGAGCCGCTGCCACGTGGCACCCGTTAAACGCTGTAAGTGTAGCCCGAACACCTGTGACTGGCACTTGAGAATTTTGTTTTCTGTTCCAGTCTCCATCCTGTTGACTAGGTCAGGAAGAAAGTCTCCGGAGCTCCTTCACTGTTGGCGCCTCTCTGCTCGAGCTCAGACACGAAGCCTCGCCGGCATCAGCGGGGCAGCGGCGAGCCGAGGGTGAGTAGCTGTCTGCTTTATGCTGGTCTGCTCGTGCCGGTGACATCGGTTTCCTAGTCGCAGCCCCAAACTACTTAAGCATAGAAATACAAAGTCCAGTTCAGAAAGACATTAAGGAGCAGGAGAGGTGGCCCTGGGCCACTGCAGAAACGGTGCGATTGTGCATGCCTGCTGTTGGCGACGGCTGGTCTACACTGGCTGTTCTTCAAGGCAAGGACACTGAATTGCCATCTGGGTGCCCCCAGAGGCTGACTAAGCCCTGACCCCTAAAGAGACTCTCCAAAGATTTGTTTGGATTGGGTTAAGCCAGTAATACCTGTCCAAAGGGTGTCCCTGGAAAATGCACCACCCTGCCACGGGACCCCGGCCAAAAGACACAATACAATCGAGGTCTCCATGTTGCCGTGTTTCTCTCCCCATAGAGAAGGGAAGACTGCATGCGAGGTGCCGCCCCCACCTCGAACAAGCTCACAGCCAGGTAGCAGGATGAAGCTTCTTGTCCCGTCGTGCCCTGCTCCAGTCTGCCCAGCCAGGCGCAAGTGAGGGCTGTGGAGGCTGTCAGAATAAAAATGGAGTCACTGGTGGTACAGAAAATATCAAAATCAAACAAACCCAAATATTGCAGGGACAGGCCACCAAGAGAGGGTTCTCACGCTTGCATGCCTGATAACAAAACTATCGCAAAAGACGGCAAAGCCGCAACCTTGCGCAAAGGGCATGGCAACCTTGCACAAAACAAAACAAAACAAAACTTCTGCAAGGACATCTGTCCAGCAGCTGCCTCTCCAACCTTGGACCGGCATCACCCTTGTCACTGATCTTTGTAGCCAAGGATAAGTCTTTCAAAACAACTCTGTAGCCCTTATCATGTTTTCCCTTAAAAAGCTTTGTTTTCCTTTACCTTCCTGAACACACACACAGTTTACTATGACGTGCGTATTTCCACGGCAAAGCTTTATTCCCGAATAAATACCTTTTCCTTTTAGAAAGCCTCTCCCTTTTTGCTATTTAGGTTGATGGGGGGACAATTTTTCACTCACCTGGGGCCTGGGAGGAATCTGAGATTATCTCAGTGAAGAAGTTTCCAGCCCAGAGAGAACTATCAGACCTGCTCCACGTGTGAACAGAAAATAGCAGATGATAACTTTTCCCGACTCCCACCTCTGCCTGTCGGCTGTGATCAGCTGTGAGACATGGGTCAGATGTTTTTGGGCACCAGAGTTGTTGACCTGGGTTGAGCCGCAGAGAGTCAGAAGGCCCCTCCTGCCCGCCCACTCCCCATCCCCTGGAAGGAGCTCGGCCACCTTCAAAGGCCAGTTCGTCGGTTGCAGAGGGCGCCCTGGCTCTTTCTGGAAGGCCCGGCGCTTGGGCACTGTCTGAGAGGGAGGACTGCCCGGAAGGAGCTGACGGCCCCCACAGGGCCCTCAGACCGCTCCATCCGCTCCTGGGACTCGTCTTCAGAAACGCTCACCCAAGCTGCAGAGATGCGCGTAAAAAGACATTCCAGCAACGTGATTTATAACAGTGAAAAATCAGCTTTCAGATCGGAACAACTCAACATCCTCCACCCAGAGACTGCTCGAATAGCACGGTGGTTAAGGACCTGGGCTCTGGGTTCAGATCTTGGCTCCTCCGTTTATAATATATGCATATAATTCACACACGCAAATGTACACACAATGTATCAGCGTATAAAATGTCCACCCCACACAAAGAAAGCCTCCATGCTGCCCTCGCTCTGCTCCCCGTGTTCCTGCCACGGCCGCAACTGCCTTTCTTACACCAGCACTGTTTCTTACACCAGCACTGTTTCTTACACCAGCACTGTTTCTTACACCAGCACTGTTTCTTACACCAGCACTGTTTCTAGCACTGTTTCTTACACCAGCACTGTTTCTTACACCAGCACTGTTTCTTACACCAGCACTGTTTCTTACACCAGCACTGTTTCTTACACCAGCACGTCCTGTTGCTTTTCGTTAAGATTCCCCAATGCCAAATTATAATCTAATCCTAACATTTAGCTTACTTCAAACAAGAATTCGATAGGAAACATTTATTGATCCCAAGAAAGAAGCTCCGGTGCTTAATCACCAACCTGGTGATCCAAGTGAGAAGTCTAGGAGCTCCCCTTCCTCCTCCTCTTGACCGCAGCCCCAGCACCCCCAGGCCCCTCACGCCTCCCCTGCTCGGGCCCGCTCGTCCCAGCTCCGTCGCTGTCTGCCTGGCTACTGCAGCGGCTTCCCCCTCCCCTTGCGCTGCTTCTGCCCTCGCCCGTCTGTCCTCCACAGGGAGCCAAAGGGAGCTTATTGGGACCTAAATCAGATCCTGCCCCTCCTCTGCTGAAGACCCCTTAACCACGTCCTCAGAATAAAACCCTGACCCTCACCTCTGCCCGTGGGGCCCCTCATAGCATGGCCCCTGCCGACCTCTCTCAGCTCAAGTCCACTTTTCCAAGCTCTGCCCAGAAATAAGACCCTGTAACCGTGTCCACCATCTGGAAATCCCGTCAGTGCCCATGCAGCCCGTTCCAAACACCACCATGCTCCCACGTGCCAAGTTGGCAACGCAAGCCCTGGGCTCTCATTGCTTCCTGGCTGCAAATTCTTTTTAAAAACCACCTGGAAAACATCTCTATGCATGATCATTAACACATACTGTTATAGGAGGGACAACTTGGTTTCATGCAAATCATCCATATTTGGCAGCTGAAAGAGACTGATTCCTATTTTTAATAATGAATTCAAAAAGGCTACAGATTTGCAATTGGATCCTTGTTAATTTGCAAGAGTTGATTGCAAAGTCTTAGCTAGAAGATCTTTATATTTGCTGCCAGCTACAGTATTCCAAACTCTGTTGTCTTTTGACAGTGGACAGAGGCTAAAGGCTAACCCCTCACCTGATCAATGATTGGCACTTCTCATCACAACTCCTGAGAGCACCCAGGGTCTGTCACCCGCCTGTCTCTCCAGTCTCAGGTGCCCCCGCCCTTTCCCAGGCTTCCCGTGCTCCAAACACACCTGCCTTCTGGGTCCTGCCCCCAGGGCCTTTGCACATGCACAGCTGGGCCCTCTGAAACCTGCTTTACAAGTGGTGGGGTGACAGGAGCACCTCATTTCCATCCAGTGGAGAGAAAACAGCGCGAGGGCCGAGCAAAGCGGGAGGCCGGGGAAGGGGGCGTGTTTCGATGATCCGTTGCTTCTTCCAGGATGCAGGCATTGTGCTTCGTGGTTTTATTTCTTTTTCCTTTACCTCTGTATTCACAGATCTAAAGGAAAATAATCAAGTGGATATTTACACAAAGGCAGACGTAATGCCGGCGCTCCGATAATGATTTGTGTGTCTCCTGGCATGAACAATGAGAGCTTCTTTGAATAGTCAAAGCTATAGCAGAGCAAAAATTTGACTCTGCTAAAGTTAAAAGAAAAATATTTGCGATTTGCACAGTCAATAGACTGGCAGAAAAGCCTTTGGAGACCACTTCTGCTGACAGAATTTCTCCCCTGGGCCCAGCGGAACGTGTTGGGGGCAGCCCGAGACCCAAGTCTGATAATTGGCCTGTCCATGAACAATCCACCAACTCAGCGGCCCAGTTAAAGGAGCCCCAGCAGCCCCGTCCAGCAGCGAGCACTTCTGGCCCTCTCGTGTCTTCCGACACTGTGGGGTGCAGAGGTGACGCCCGGCTCCCCAGCAGCGGGGGCTGGACGCTTTGGGCTGGACTCACGAGATTCAGTCCCAGACCCTCCACTCATGGGCTCAGTTTCCCCATGAATAAGCCAGGGAGGAACCTCGGTTTCTTTGTCTGTAACACAGGGAGAGGTGGCCATTATAAGAACTCAGTCCGATGGGTGTGAAAGCCCCTTGCCGAGGGATCCCACAACGAAAGTTATTCTTGCTGCGTTTAAAGTGCAAAATAAACTAAAGGATAAAAAGGAGGACATTCTTGCTGCGACAGCTGATCCATAAGAAGGGTGGGTGAGGGGAGGCTCTGCTCTTTGTCTCTGTGCTCATTTTTCTCCTTGGGGAAGCAAGACTTCGGATTCTGTCCCGATATTTGCTTTTGGTCCCATTTATTTTAAACATGAAACTGAAGGGGGTGCTCGATCCCAGCTTGTGCAAACGCCAGGCACTCTGCTACTCTTAGAGCTTGCCCTGTATGTACCTGCTCAAACCTCCCTGCTTCTCGTGGCTCATGGAATAAAATGCAAAGTCCCCACCAAGGCCACCAGGGCCCATGAGACCTGGCCCTTGCCCACCTGGCCCCTACCTCCCAATTCCTCTCCAGCCCCACTGGCTTCTTTCTGTTACTTGGACAACTCAAGCTCAGTTCTGCCCCAGGGCCTTTGCACTTGCTGTTTTAAAAATGACTCTAAGAGTTTTCACCCAGATTTTTTATGATGGGCTCATTCTCCTCTGCCAAGTCTTATTAGCACACATGTCACCTCCCCATAAAGGCCTTCCGTGACCACCCTACCTAAGGTGGCGCCCCTTCGCCAGGTACTGTCTTTATTTTAGTGCCTGTTTTATTTCTATGATAATTTCTACGTTGTGTACAACCTGCAATTATTTGGTACTTGTCATCCCCACTGGAGGGTCAGCTCCATGAGGGCAGAGACTGGGTGTGGGAAGTCCACAGCTCTGTGCACAGCGCCTGGCACGGCATCTGGCACATGGTAGGCACCACATAAATATGCAGATAATTAAAGGAGTGGAGATTCTGTTAAGGCCCTTTCCGCTCTGCAGTAAGGGATGCCGGGCTCAGCAGGGCTGCACCATAACCTGAGTGCCCATCTCAGAGGCCTCTGTCACCGGCACCCTTCCCCAGCCACCCTCCACGGGTCACCAAGGAGGAGTCGGCCACTCTGAGTTCCCTGTGCTAGAAGATGGAACAGCAGAGGCGCCACCTAGAAGACCACAGCCAGGGCCCTGCGTGGGGTGCTCTTTTCCTCCCACCCTTGCCCTTCTTCCCTTCTCAGCTCTGCTCTGTGCATGAGGACAGTCCTCCCTCCTCGGACGGTCACCCAGGTTCCCCTGCCCTGTGCTGTGTTTCCGGCTGTTTGGCCAATACGAGGAGAGAGAGGTCAGCAGGGTCCCCCCACCTTCCTTGCTGGGTCCTGACGGAGCAGCGGCTGTTGCTATGGTCTGCGTACCTGTCCCCTCCAGAACTGCTGAGATTTAATCCCCGATGTAGCAGTGCTGAAAGGTGGGCCTTTAAGAGGTGACTGGGTCTTGAAGGCTCTGCCCTCGTGGATGGGTTAATCCACTCATGGGTGGATGGATTATCCCGAGAGTGCCACTGGTGGCTTCGTAAGAAGAGGAGAGAGACCCGAGTTGCTCATTAGCATACTCAGTCCCTCAAATACGACACCCTTCGCCACCTTGGGACTCTGCAGAGAGTCCCCACTAGCACAGAGCCCCTTCTCCCCTTGACCTTGGACTTCTCAGCCTCCATAACTGTAGGAGATAAATTCCTGTTCTTTATAAATTACCCAGTTTCAGGTATTCTATTGTGAGCAACGTAAAACGGACCAAGAGAGCTGTGTTGCTCTTCCCGTGGCCCCAGCTGCTCGTGGACAGTGCTCTCCCAGAGCTGCGGTGCTCGCCGGGGGCCAGGAACTCGTCTGCTCCCAGCCCCTTCAGGCCAGGGCTGCTGGCAAGGGTCCCTCTCACTCTAGTCCCTGGACCACTAGCCCCGGGGTCCTGGGAAGGTTACTTAACCCCCTGTGCTCCACAGTCCTCACCTGTGTAATGAAGACAATGACAGCACCTGCACTATCGGCCTGTGATAATGATTAAATGGGTCGACATGCAGGGCGTGCCTAGAACAGTGCCGGGTACACAATAAGCACTATACTGGTTATTATTTCCTTACCGTTATGGGCTATTGTTGCTATTTTATTACCGCCATTCCTGTGTTAAGCACTAATCTTGTAGTATCTCAGTGGATCCTATGAGGGGGTATGCTTATTATTCCAGTGTTACACGAGAGGAGGAGACTGCAGCCTCGGCAGGCACAGCCACTTTCCCAGCGTGATCCGGTTAGAAAACCGCAGAATCCAGGCCTGAGTTCTAGTTCTAGTCCAACTGCTCAGCCCGAGCTCCTGGCCACTAAGCCATGGTTTTTTCCCACCTTCATCCATTCAAAGTCCACAGACCAAGCAAAGTGGGAGGCTGGGGAAGGGGGCGTGTTTCGGTGATCCGTTGCTTCTTCCAGGATGCAGGCATTGTGCTTTGTGGTTTTATTTCCTTTTCCCTTTGCCTCTGTATTCACAAATCTAAAGGAAAATAATCAAGTGGATATTTACACAAAGGCAGACGTAATGCCGGCGCTCGGATAATGATTTGTATAATGTCTCCTGGCATGAACAATGAGAGCTTCTTTGAATAGTCAAAGCTGTAGCAGAGCAAAAATTTGACTCTGCTAAAGTTAAAAGAAAAATATTTGCGATTTGCACGGTCAACAGACTGGCAGAAAAGCCTTTGGAGACCACTCCTGCAGACAGAATTTCTCCCCTACGCCCAGTGGAACAAGTTGGCGGCAGCCCGAGACCCGAGTCTGACAATCAGCTGTGGGACCGTCCTGCGTACACAGGAGGACCGTCCTGTGTACACAGGACATTCCGCAGCATCCGTGGCCTCCACCCACCAGCCCTCACAGCAAAGAGTGACCCGGCCCAAAGCGTCAGTATTGACAAGGCCCAGGGACCCTGGTACAGTGATGATGCAGATACAAGGAAAAAATCACAATTGAGGAGGTAAGAGTCTGCGTTTCACTCAAACTGGTGAAATGATAACAGTGATAGACTAAGTTACATATACACAGAACAACCACTAAGAAGCTACACAAAAAGATACACTTAAAAACACTACAGACGTATCAAAACAAAACTCTAAAACATGTTCAAGTAACCCACATGAAGACCAAAAAAAAAAAAAAACCCAAAAAACAGAACACATAAAAATTAGAGCTAGAAGGAACAAACAAGAAACAAAGTGGCGCCTTTAAGCCCTAGCACGTCCATTACATTAAATGTAGATGTCCTGAATACACCAAGCAAAAGATTGTCAGAGTGAATTAGAAAACATTAACCAGAAAGAAACCAGTAGCAGAATTCTTGAAACTCCAGAAAGAAAAGAAGTTTGAGATGAAAATAAATGTAATCATAATAAACTATTCTCCACCTCCTGAATCTCTTCAATTATATATGATGGTTGAAGCAAAAATAATAACAGCATGTGGCACAATCCTAAATGTATGAAAAGCAACACTTAAGACAATTATATTTTAAAAGTGGGAAGGGGAAAGAGACCTCAGTGGCAATAAGGCCTTGATACTTCACGCCAGGCGTGGCAACATGGAAGGCAGTGCGCTGCGATAAGTTATGCGTGTGTACCGTCATACCTAAGCCACCACTGAGAAAAATATCTAAGCAATACACTCTAAAACGTTATAAATCACTCAAAATGGAATTCTGGAAAACATTTGAAAACCCATAGGAAGGCAAGAAAAGAGAAATGGAGGAATGAGAAACAGGGGGAAAGATAGAAAATAAATAATAAAGTGGCAGCCTTTAGTACTCAATATTCACAATTATTTCAAATGTCAATGGTCTAAATAGGAGGATGTCCAGAAAGTACCCAGCCGTGGACACAATGGATACATAGATAAAATGGCTGGATACTTTCCAGACAGCCCTCTGTGCTGATTATGAGACAGAGAGTGGCAGAGTGGAGTGAAAAATGCAAGCCAAGTACATGCCATATACAAAGAACCACTTCAAACATAATGACGTAGGTAGGCTGAAGGCACGAAAGCATGAGAAGGGATAAAGTTGCATCATGCAGACATTCATTTAATACAAGCAGGAGTGACTATACTAATATCAGATTGAGTAGACTTCAGAGGATAGAGTCAACAAGAGTTACTAGAGTCAACAAGGGACACTACCTAACTATAAAAGGTTCACTCCACCAAGAAGATATAGCGATCCCAAATATGTACACACCAAACAACAGAGCTTCAAAATATGGGAAGCAAAACCTGATAACGCTGAAAGGAGACATAGAAAAATCCACAATTATAACTGGAGACCTCAACACCTAAGATATCAGTATTTGGCCTTTTCTATCAGTAATTGACGTATCCAATAGACAAGCTAACAGGCAGGAAATCAGTAAGGATATAGTTAAACTGAACAGCACCATAAATCAACTGGATCTAATTGACATTTATAGATTACTTCAGCCAACAACAGAATATACATTCTTCCCAAGCTCACACGGAACATTCACGAATGTAGACTATATCTGGCTTATAAAGCAAATCTTAACAAATTTTAAATAATTGAAATCACAAAGAGAATGTTCTCCCAACATAAGAAAACAAACTAGAAATCAATAATAGAAAGATAACAGGAAAATTGTCAAATATATGAATATTAAATAGTACAATTCTATATAACCCATGAGTAAAAGAGGAAGTCTCAAAGGAAATAAAAATATACATAGAACTGAATAAAAATGAAAGTATAACATCAAAATGTGTGAGATATAGTTAAAGTCATGCTAAGAGAGATATTTAGAGTGCTAAATGGCTACATTAGAAAAAAAGAAAGTGTTCAAATTAATAATCTAATTCCTACCTCAAGAAACCAGAAAAAACAAAGTTACCCAAAGTAATCAGAGGGAAAAAAAATAATTAAGAGCAGAAATTAATCAAGTTGAAAACAGAAAAGCAATCAAGAAAATCAATGAAATAAAGAGCAGGTTCTTTGAAACAATAAAAATAATTGACATATGTCTGGCAAGACTAGCAAAGATAAATAAAAAAAGAGAAGAAACAAATCGCTAATACCAGGAATAAAACAGAGACTATTGCTAAATTCTGTAGTCATTCAAAGAATAATAAAAGAATGCTATGAACAAATTTATACTCATAAATTTCATACCTTGAAAGAAATGGAGCAATTCTTTGAAAACCACAAACTACCAAACTCAATCATGGTGAAATGGATAACTGGAATAGCCCTAGAATCTCCTAAAAAGAAATCTCCAGGCCCAGACTGTTTCACTGGAGAATTTTATCTCACATTAAAAACAAAACATTAACATCAATTTTACACACTCTCTTCCAGAAAACAGAAGAGCGAATACTTCCCAGCTTATTTTAGGAGGACAGTATTACCATGGTATCCAAACCAGACCAAAAAAAGTACAAAAACAGAAAACTATAGACAAATATCTCTCATCAACTTAAACACAAAAATTTTCAAATATATTAGCAAATTGAATCCAACAGTGTATAAAGAGAATTGTATAACATGACCAAGTGGGATTTATTCTAGGTGTGCAAGGCTGTTTCACTATTCAAAAACTCAAATCCACGAAATCCACCATATCCACAAGCTGAAGAAGAAAAATCATTTTAAGTAATGTAGAAAAAAGTACCAATTTCTGATAAAAATCCTGAACAAACTAAGATTAGAGGTAACTTCCACAATCTCATAAAGAGCATTAACACAAGAAGCTGTAGCTAACATCATACTCAATGGTGGAAACTGAATGCTTCACGAACCCTATGACCAAGAACAAGGCAGGAATGTCTTTTTTCACCTCTTTTATTAAACATAGTTCTAGAAGTTCTAGACAGTGCAATAAGGCAAGAAAAAAAAAAGACATACAGATAGGAGAAATAAAACTGTCTCTATTTACAGATGACATGATTCCCTATAGAGAAAATTCCAATACCAAAACCAAAACAAAAACAAACCACCTAGAATTAGTGAGTTCAGCAAGATTGTAAGATATAAGATCAATATACAAGAATCATTTGTGTTTCTAGATACTAATAATGAACAAATAGAAAGTGAAATTAAAAGTGCTATGTCACTTATAATTGATCCAAAATAATGAAAAACTTGGGTATAAAATTAGCAAGACAGGGACAAGACTCATTTGCTGAAAACTACAAAATCTTGAAGAACTGAATAAGAACTCAATAATTGGAAAGACTGTGTTTATGGGTTGGAAGACTCAACATAGTGAAAATGTCAGTTATCTCCCCAATTCATCTATGCTTAATGCAATTTCTATTAAAATCCTAGGTTTTTTTATAGACATAGACAAGCCAATGGGCTTTCCACGCTATGTCTGCTGGTGCCACCAGGGGAAGGAAGCTCCTACCTGGCCTCCTTCTGCTGCCGGGTGGAGGAACAGAAGCTGCGAGTGAGTGGGTGTCTCACTGCCCTGAGTGGAGGGTTGGGAGCCCCTGAGCCTGGCTCACGTTCTACCTCGGAGTGGAGGGTGGAGGGACCGCAGGTCTGACTTACCCTCTGCCATTGGGTGGAGGGTCAGGAGACTCGAGATCTTCTGGTACCACTAATAAGGGCCTGCGAGGCCACCAAGGGTGGGCAGTATGTCAAACATGCTCTGCTGGAGCCACTGCTGCCACTGGATATGGGCTCCTCTATCTGCCCCTTTCCAGATCTCACACTTGTTTTCCTTTTTGTGTGTACCTGTTGGTGACTCCGGTTGCAGCTCTCTCCAGAGCTCAGTGTAGGGTGTATGGGAAATAGAAAAAGAAACCCCAGACAAGTCAGTTGAGTGCTGAGGTTCCTAGCCAGCTTCGGTCCACCTTTCAGAGTCCTTTACAGTTATCTGTTGAATTACTTACAAGGTACTGAGCTATATTCAGAGGGGAAGAGCAGGGAAAAGTGACTCTGTGACATCTTGTCCCATAACCACAGGACAGTTCCTTTTAAAACTAAAAAAAGACTTACCATACATCCAGACATTGTACTCATAGGCACTTATTCCAATGAAATGAAAACTTATGCTCACATGGAAGCTTCTACACAAAATTTCATAGCAGCTTTACTCATAACAATCTCAAACTGGAAACCACCCAAATGTCCTTCAATGGGTGAATGGTTAAACAAACCATGGAGCATCCATAATGTGGAACATACCAGCCATAAAAATGAGAAACTATTGATGCGCAGAAAAGCTGGAATGAGCCTCTGGTACTGAGGCTTAGTGGGGGGAAAAAGCCAGTCTCCAAATATTACATGCTATACGATTCCCTTTACATAACATTCTTGAAACTAAAAAATTATAGAGATGGAGATCAATTAGGGGTTGCTGGAGATTAGGGATGGGTGGGTGTGGCCATAAAGGGTGAGGACCCTTGTGACAATGGAATGGTTCTATATCTTGATTGTGGTTACTAAAAGCCACACGTGATAAAATTGCATAGAGCTATAAACACACACACACACACACACACAAAGGAGTGCATACATAACTGGGGAAATCTAGATAAGCTCCGTGCACTGTACCAACGCCAATTCCTGGTTTTCATACCGTACTTTAGTGATACAAGATGTTACTATTGAGAGGGGTTGGATGGGATCAAGGGTACGTGGACCTTGTTGAACAATTCCTTGTAACTACCTGTGAATTTAAGTTCTTTCAAAATAGAAAGTTTCCTAAAAAGCCCAAACAACACAATACCACTAATTTCTAACCATATAATATTTCTCTGAAACTATCTCGCCCTGCCCCCAATGCATTCTCTTTCTCTAGGCCATTGTAAAGACCCATTTACACTAACTTGAAACTTTCTACCTGAAGTTCTGGGAGGGCTGGTGGAGAGGAGAAAGGAGAATGACCTTTAGTACCTGCTTCGGTGGTATTTAATGTAGTCCCTGAACTACGTTTGGGAACTTAGTATGTTATTAGGGTTTCAGAAAAGTCATGTTCAAATAAAACGTGTGTATGTGTCTATACGCACACACTGTCACCCACCCAGCCTCAACCACAGCGGTCATGCCAACATCACAACTTTATGTACACAAACTTGGCTGAGGAAGGAAGGTCCTTCAGGTCCAAGCGTCCAACGTGCCGTCAGCCACGCCCGCCACCATTGCCCTTCGAACTGCTGATCAGAACACGAAATTACACACCTGACAGGCTGTTTCGATGAGTTTCTCTGCTCCACGGCACAAGACAGCAAAGCTGGGGAGAAGTCTCTTGCGGAGAAGGGCTTTCAGCCCGTCCTCCCCACCCACTTTCCGTGTTGAATGATTGACTCCAATTTAAGTAGAGCCCTCTGGCGGTGCTGCGACGGGAGGCAGGGGCGCTGTAAGAAGTCCCTTCACGGTCGGGTGAGAGGGCGTCCTCCAGGGAAAGCCCGTCTCACCTGCTCCCTGTCACCCCCAGAACCTGCTCTCGAGCAGCCCCCTTGTCTGCCCATAAGCTGGGGGCACTGTGGGAAAGAGTCGGGGGACAGATGGAGGGGCGAGAAGGCAGACGTCCCAACATGCACAGATGGGCAAATACCCGGATCCAGACGTTAGCTGAATGTAATTACTCAGTTAATTAAATATTGACTTTCAACTCGAAAGGTGATTAAAACAAGCTGCAGGAGAGACTGTCCATAAAGGGGGCAGGGAGGGAATCAGAACTTTCTCGAGAAGAGGGAAGAGAAGAGGGGGCTGTCACAGTGGAGGTCTGTGCTTGCTCTGCCTACTGTGTGCAGGTGCCTACTGTGTGCAGGGGCGTGGTCCTCGGTCTCTGGGCAGGAAGGGGATTGTGAACCAAGGCCACCGCGAAAACTAGGGTTGCAGGTTCTCCTTACATTTTTCTATCTTGGACCCCATCTCTTTCCTCAGTTGTCTTTCAAGGGGTCACGAGCTTCTGGTGCACAGGAACTAAATACCGTCCGTCGGTATTCACCTGGAACACAATGTGGTGCTCCATAAATGCTTGCAGAACAAATGAGTGAACATGCAAGCAATGGCAGTATGCGTGTGCCCCTGTGTGTGCGTGCACATGTGTGCGTGTGTTCACTGCAGGCAGGTGCTGTGGATCACGTGTTTAGTCCAGACTGAACTCACCAGCTCAGACACCCATGAGGTCGGAAGGTCTGCACGGCCCCCTCTGGCCACATTTCTTCCCATAATTCCCAGCAACCTCCACGGTCCTCCGGGTCCATGGCCTCAGCCTGTTGTCCAGGTTCCTTCCAGGCAGCTGGGGACTGCTGGCTCCTTTCAGGAGCTCAGCATCTGCCGGTGAGACTCCAGGGGCCTCAGATGTCCCCCAGGCTGGGAAGTGGCTCAGCCATGACTCAGCCAGGCCAGGGAGGGGCTCTGCAGAATCCTCCGGACGCTCACGGCCTCCTGACTCTCCGGCCCCTGCTGCCTCCAGCCCACTGTCTGGGACGGCCTTTCTCCTCTCGTGTCCCTCACCCCCGATGACATCTCTCACTGTGACGGTCCTGGCTGGACAATCGGGCTTTTCAACTCATCAGCCACCCCGACTCTCCCTGTTGTTGGTTTAACCTCACCGGGACCTTTCTCTTGACACCCCCACGCCTCTGCGAATTCCCCGGAGGCCCTTTTGTGCAGAACATCTGTCTGATCCCGTCCACTTTGTAAAGCCAGAGTTTCTGTTTGATTTCCTTGATGCATATGCAAAAAAAAAAAAGAAAAGAAAAAAAATCACCGCATACTTTTTATCTTCATCAAGAGACTGAAATACAACCTGAACCATTTTTGTCTGAGCACTTTCTGGCCGAGTTTGGGTTGGAGCAGATGGGATTTTATGAAGGTTGTAAAAGTCAAGTTTTCAGCGTGTCAAACAAATCAGCGTGTGAAGGAGAAACATTAAAAGCAGGAAAAATGGCTGTGGCCTGGGATGTGTTTGGAGACTCCGCAAAACAAGGACGCAGGACCGGGGCACAGGTGGTCACAAAGTTTGGCCGAAAACTTCATTTTCACGAGGAAAAGATACTGCAGTCCCCCTCAGAGGGCTACAGTCTAACTTCTCAGCTCATAAGTGGGGACAATTGTGCCCGGGTTTTAAAATATTAATGCAAATTCCAGCATCATCTATAACTATGCAGTCTCGTGGCTCATTCTGCTTGGGTTTTCATTTAGATATAAGCTGTCTTGTATGTAGAACAGCAACTGCATTAGGAAAAAATCTTCTTATATGTCTTGAGAAATTATGATAATAAAAAATAGCAGCATAAACCGGGATTAAGTCAGAAGAAAGACAATCGCACATCGTGCAGCCTCCCTGGGCGGGCGCACTGATGCAGCGATGGATTTACTGCGGCGGAACAGGGCTCATCTTTGCAGCGAGGGACCGTTTCTTTCCCTTAATTGCACGCGATTGTGTAGCCTAATTTATGCTAAGACCCAGTGTCTAAGTGAGCACCTTCATGAAGGGAGGGTTGGTTTGGGAGGTAGGAAAATTATCAGCTGGTTTAAAACGAATCATCCTGGAGCTGTTGTATGTGTGACGTCTGAGAGTAAAATGTTTGCTCTAAACTCTCACCAGTGAAAGACAACAGGGCCATGGCCAGTTAATCCCCTGTTCTGAAAAACACAGATAAAGCTGGCGATTTGTCTGTTTGCTTTACTGTCCACCGATAGTTCTTTTTTGGGTCAGCGGGCCGGGCTGACATGCACGTGCCTGTCTGTGAGCATCGCCATGAGCAAGGCGCCCGGCGGGCAGCTGCAAATCGCGGTGGACAAGGCCGAGCCCGTGGGTCTTAGGTGGATGGGAGTTTTCTAAAGAAGAGCAGGCTCCACCTGACCGTGTGTGCAGTTCAACTTAGGGCTCTCTCTGGGACAGCACACCTGGTTTTATCATCCTTTTCCAGAAAGTTCACTTATGAGCATTTAAATGGTGGCGGTGGTTTCCTAAAAGCAGAGCAGAGCACCCCCGGGCTGAGGCTCTAACCTGGTCTCTGATCCCACCGGCCGGCCACTCCTCAGCTGACCTCTCCGGGCCGCGGTTTCCTCAACTCAAGAATGACGGTAACTTCGAGGACACGGCAGGGATGCTGCGTGGATTCAGTGAGGCGGGTGAGAGCACAGATGCACAGCGCAGACCAGCTCGGATGCCCCTCGTCCTCAGAGCAGGAGGCTGGGCGTCCCCTGCGAGGCTGTGCTGAGACGGAAGCCACTCGTTCGTGAGATCTTGCAGAGGGTGTTCTGATTTCAGACTATCAGGACAGGAAGCCGCCTTCCACATCTCTGATAAGACTCCTGCTTCATTCCACAGATATTACGATCAGTTAAGCACCAGGTTGCAGCAACCGCAGGAGTTACAGATGGGACATGTCACCTGGCAGGGGTGTCACCTGGCAGGGGTGGGGAACCTGCAGCCTCCTGGTTTCAAGATGGTTCTTTTTTAAGCACCAAAGAAGGCAAGAAAAGCTTCATCTTTCCCTGCTGCGCCCCGTTTAATAAAAGGATTTGTTCTGTAAAATTTGGATTCAGTCAAAAGGCTGCACTTAAGGACCTAGAAGGCCACATGTCACCTAAAGGCCGCAGGTTCCCAACTCCGGAGCAGATATGACAAGTGGGTTTGTGGCAGAGGCCGCTGGGTGCTGACCTTTTCTTTGCTAATAAAAATCGGATCTGTTTGGGCAGCAACACGCCCAGCTCAAGGAGACAGATCAATCCTGTTGGTCACGATAATCCCACGTGTGGGCATTTGGCCACTTCTGGCTAGAATGAGCTAGAAGGTTCAGTCAGCTGGGGGCTCCTGGGAATATTTTTCTCCCTGTTAAAATAGGAAGATCCCCTTCCAGTTTCTGTTCAGAGTTATTGGAAGCTGGAAAGAACACAGCTCCCAACCTTACAAGGGGCAAAATCAGACAAACAACAAGTCCATGCCTGTTCCTGAACGCAGAGGAATGCGGAGGTCACAGGTCCCAGTGGTCCTAAATCTAAGGGGAGAGAGACACACCTGCAGGGAGAAGCGAGCTTGGCTTACCTGGGCAAGATGCAGCTGGAAACAGCAGGAAGAGCTCAACAGGGGCGGTCGTTCTCCGCTGGGGCTGACTTTGTCTCCTAGTGGGCCTCTGGAAGTGTCTGAAGAAAGTTCGGATTGTTACACCTGGTCTGGCAGTGTTACTGGCATCCAGTTACTGGGTGAGGCCAGGGACGCTGCTAAACATCCTACAGCAAGGAATTATCCAGCCCAAAATGTCCATAGCTTCGAGGCTGATAAAAACTGAGATCAACCAACATTGTCTCAACATTGTCACTGCCTGAACTGCAGTGGGCTCCCCACTGGTCCCCCAAGTCTGCCCTTGCTCCATGTGGTCCATTCTCCAGAAGGCAGTCCGACGGCACCTGTAAAATAGAATCCAGATGATGCCACCCCTCTCCTTAAAACACTCCGATGGCTCTCCTCAAGGCTTCACGTCTACGCAGATGCAGCACCTGCAATGCTGTGGGCCTCTGATTTAATATCATCCTGCCCCGCTTTTCACACTCCGATCCAGGCAGACAGTCTCACCACATCCCTGGAAGATGCCAAGAACATTCCTGCAGAGGGTCTTTGCGCTTGCTTCCTCTGCCTGGATGCTCTCCTCTCTTGAAATTCCTATTCGGTTTTGAACAAGGGGCCCATGTTTTCATTTGGTGCTGGGCCCTGCTCGGAAACTGCCTAGAAACATCTTTCCTACTTTCATTTCAGTTGTTCTAACCGGTTCTCAAAGCTTTCAGAGGGGAGGGCGACCTGGGGATGTTCCTGGGATCGTGGTGTGGAGGGGTGTGGCTTCTCACGGCAGCTCCTGGATGGCCGAGGATGAGACACTGGGACATGAACAGGGCCCCGGCCGAGGGAGACTTCAGGACAAGTCAACCTGGAGGTCCATCCCCCAAGGCAAAATGCACTGTTTTACCCAAGTATAGATAATCTGGGGCATAGAAGAGAAACTGCTCTAGCCCCAAACCTATCAACAGGGTGTCCAGGACTCAATTACACCATGATCAAACCCACCATCCTGAAGCAGGCTGGTGGGGCCAAGAAATAAGAGAGGAATAAGCTAACCAGGAGTCACCTGGCCACACTCCAGTGATGTTCCACCTCTGGCCAGGCTTATTGTGACTTGGCTTTCAAGGCCTGAGCTGAGCAGTGAGGAGACCTGTGCTGTTTAGCAGACTCAGTGGTGCTCACGAATCCCTGTGGGCACAGTCCTCCCTGAGGGGGACCCTCCAGTGATGTGCCCACTGACCAGACACTTGGGATTTCCTTTGCGGAGGGAGTCTCCTTTGATCTAGAGCCTCTGCTTCTCAACACCTGAGGAGGGGCAAGCCTCGCTCCCGCAGGGTGGCTCCACGACCAGCTGCAGGATTTTTGGAGCCCAGTGTGAAATAAAAATGTAGCGTCCTTTGTGCAGAAATTGTTAAGAATTTCAAGTCCATGACAGCAGGGCCTCCCACCAAGCGCAGGCCCGCCTGTCTCAGCATGGGGCCCTGTGCACCTGTGCACCTGAGCAGGTCGCACACCCGCCCAGCTGGCCCCAGAAGTGAGCTTGGCATTTGGAAATGTCTGGAGGCGATTCAGGTTCAAGGTCAGAGAGAGGAAACATGCTCCAGCTCAGGGTTCCATTAGAGGACAAGATGGACTGTGCAATAAGGGGACAGATCTCTGAGCAGCCCAGAGGAGGCTCTGGTTGCCTTGACAATGACTCTATTGTTAGAATAAGACTCCTTCTGGAGACTTAGAACTGTGGGGACACTGTGGGGACCAAGATTGATGAGATGCATAATATGTTCTGGTTAGTTTGTTAAAAAAAAAAAAAAAAAAGGAAAGAAAAAAGAAGTCTTTAAGGTCCCAGCTCCCTGGGATCTGGTAGCACGTGAGGGACCATCCCTGAGTCTTGAGGGAAATATCTGGGAAACTGGGAATGGTGGTAGAAGGAGTTTGGACAGTACCTCAGTTTCCCCACCTGTGAAATGTCTGGGATAACAGTGCCTACCTCTGTATTGGCATGAAGGGTTACTGAGCGGCAAAGGGGTCACAGTGACTGGTGGTTTACAAAGCAAAGAGATGCCGCTGCTCTCACCGTTTCCTCTCGCTCCTCCCAGACGGAGAGAGCGCAGACGGTCGCTAAGGTCAGCTGTGCGGCTGTGCGTGCGTGTTTGTCTTTGCGCGTGTGATTCCCTCGGGGCTCCAAATTCCCTGTAAGGCACAGAGTGGTCTTTAGGGGAAGAAACATCTGGACACCTATGAAACCTGTGCTACAAATGCCATCCAGGTGACCCAGTCCCCAGCCTTTGCTCGCCAATGAGGTCCTGAGGGTGGAAACATCCTGGCTGATGTCACTCGGCCCACTGTGGGTGGCGCCAGGACTTGGACCTGGCCTCTGGACACCAAGGCCCTGCTCTTTCTCCATCCCTCTTGGCTGCTCGAGTGTGTGGCTGCTGTCCCTGGAACGACACCAGGTGAGCAGCACGAGGGCAGAGTTGTGACCCCCCGGGACAGAGACCAGGGCGGGGGCATCTCTGCTCAGAGGCCCCTGTGGCCCCGGCGGAGAGAAGGCAGGCAGCGCTATCTGGGCGCTTCGTGAAGCCCATCGGGAGGGAGCCATGGCACAGTGGCGGTGCCCCCAGGACCCTGGTCCCCCCCACATCACATGTGTCCTGCGGAGCCAGCACGTGGCCCTGTCCAGGCCCTGCCAGGGAGAGCATTTTACCGTCAAGCTGTCCTTCCAAATCAAGGTCTTCCTTTGCGCTCGGCCCCCCACTGGCAGCTCCCAGAAAACACCAGGTTTTCTCCCATTCGTCTGTTGGTCCCTCCAACGAAAGCTGGGTCCAGCCTGAGATGCTGAGTCCTGGGGAGGCGACAGGGAACAGGACAGACACAGCTTGGCCCTCCTAAGTTTTCTGGTCTAACGTGGGCGATGGGGCCCCAGGGCTGGTGGGTGGGTGGCAAGGGCCATCCACCATGGTGGGCAGGAGTGTTTTATTCCTGAATTTGGGACGATTTTATCATTGGTTTTAAACTGTCTACAGCTAATGCACCCTACTGCCTACAGCAGCGGGGACAGGCTGCTCCCGCCAGCCCTTGCTTCGCCACTGTGTCCCTGGACGAAGGACTCTGGGAAGAACACACGTGGCTCCGGCTATTCCTCCTACCTGTGAGACAGAGTCCGGCCTCAGGGCCTTTGCACTTGCTGTGCCGTCAGCCGTCTCTTTCTTCATCTAGAAGCTTGGCTCACTCTTTCACTTCCTTCAGGGCCATGCTTGACTTTCCCTCACACCCTTACTTAACCACTTCAGTACCGGCGTAGACTACAGTCGACAGCCACAGATGAACGCGCACAGCGACTTTAGCCGACAGCCTTGATGTGACTTCTCTAATTTTTCATTTATCAAAATAAAACTGTGAACATTTAAAAACAACATAATGAAAACACATATGTATATGTTGCCTATTCTGATTTACATGACAAGTAAAGCTGCCTGTAAAGTAAAACGAACTGTCAGTGCTTTCAAGCTTTCCTCGTCACACAAGAGCAGAGCGGACCCGTCGTCAACGCACAGCACAGACCAGCGTGCGGACCGTGGGTGCCGGCTGCGGGCGAGGTTTCGCGGCCGGTGAGCGCCGTAACGAAGTGGTTAAAAGAAAAGACATCCTCCCCGCGACACACTCTGCTCTGCTTTGCTTTTCCCCACGGCCCTGATCACCACCTGGTGGAAGGCGTATTGTTCCTTCTCTGTCTTCCTCCGTGCAGCCCAGCAGGGTGGGGGCCTTGTTGGCTTTGTTCATCGCTGTGTCTCCAGTGTCTGTCGCTTGAAAGAGGCTCACACACTTCGAAAGGATGAGTGAGGGGAGAGGGTCCTTGTGTGTGAATCTCGCCTCTGCCCTGTGCCACCTGTGTGACCTGGCGTGAATTATTGCCCTCTCTGAGCCTCAATTTCTTTATCTGGAAACAGAAACAAGGCTGACCACAAAGTGGCTGAGCCCAGGAACCCAGGCAAGAGATGAAAACAACACCTGCCCCGCCAGGGGAGCAGTAAGCGTCCCCACCCTCCTCCTCTCTCCCCGACAGCCTCCCGTGTAGTGGGGGAGGAGGTGGGGGACCGTCTGAGCCTGTCCGGGCGGCAGCACGAATCGTCTCCACCCACCAGCCTGGTCTCGGAGGAGCCCACAGCGAGTGGAGCAGGAGAAGCGGGCCGGGAGATTGGTTGGATTTATTTCCTGCCTTGCCAGCGAAGCGCTGTAAGATGTGCACATCCATAACCGCATTGCTCGCGTGAAGACCGGCGACAGCGGGATGGACGGAGACGTACAGCCCTCTCCACGAGGGAGAAGCCAGCCTGAAGCCTTGGCAGGGGGAGCAGGCGCCAAAACCCAGGGCAGGTGCATCCCAGAGCGCGGGGCTGTGGGGACGGGACGCCTGCGCCCCTCACGCACTGGGCCGGGGACAAATCCAAGGTCGACCCTCACCTCCCTGATGGCCCGATTGGAGTAAAGAGGACTGGAGAGAGGGAAAAGGATAAGAAGAAGGTGAAAGGAAGGAAGAGAAGGGAGGGAGGAAGAAAAAGAAATAAGGAGAGAAGAAGGGGAAAAAAATGAGAAAGAAAGACATATTTTAAACTAGATTCAAACAAATGTATTTTCTTAAATGACTGAATACAAACCAAATCAGAGCTTTGAAAGAGAACCTAACCAAACTGTTATTTTAATTTATGCCAGGGTATGATTTGAGGTAAAGGACTTGGTCTGCCTCTCTCCACTAAGCCTTGTTTAAATGGATTGCAAATATTCTAGAAGGTTCTTCTGGAGCCTCGGCCCACTGATACATACACTGCGGGTATGTGTTCATAGGGTGAGTAGCTGTCCAAGTTTTCCTGAGAGTGAAGAAGGTCCCTGGACGCAGGATTTCAGTGCTAGAACTGACAAAGTCCCTGCTAAATAAGGACAAATCGGTCACCCTAATGGCAGGGAGGTGGGGTTGAATTACTATCCCCCCAAAAGATATTTCCATGTCCAAATCCCTAGAACACGTGAATGAGAGTTTATTTCAAAAAGGGTTTTTGCAGATGTGATTAAGGTAAGGACTTTGAGATGAGATCATCCTGGATTACCCAGATAGGCCCTGAATCCAATGACAAGTGACCTTGTAAGAGACAGGAGAAGTGACACACACACAGACGGGAAGGCCGTACGGAGATGGAGGCAGAGGTTGGAGAGATGCGGCTCCGCAGAGGAAGGCCTGGAGCCACAGCAGCCGGGAAGGACAAAGGAGGACTCCGCCCTGGAGCCTGCAGAGGGAGCGAGGCCCTGCCGGCACCTTGATATTGGATCTCTGGCCTCAAGAACCGTGACAGAATAAATTTCTGTTGTTTTGAGCCATCAGCCATGAGCTTTGTGGGAATAAGGGAAATAATAACTAATAAGGGAAGTAAAGAAAGAAAAGAAAGGCAAGACAGACTTACCAGGAAGTCTTAGGATGCTTTCTGATTTGCTCTATCTCTAAAAAAGTTTCTAGAATAAATTTATGGAGAAATAGTAATAACATGTAACATGCTTGGATTCTGCAAGGCAGAATTTAAAGGCTCAGTAACGTGTCAGTTGTTGCCGGCCCCACTCAGCGGCTGTGGTGAGCACCAGTTCTCACGCTCACAGGCCCACAGCCACAGCTCATCCGTGGCCCGGCCGACGCAGGCTGGGGGCTGCTGGGTGTGGCTCCCGGCTGCGGGTCCGGCTCAGGTCTGCCGGGTGCTTATCTTGAGCCCAGTCCGAGGGGACAGCAGCTCCTCTCTGGACACACCTTCCTCCCGGAGGACCCCTGAGAAAAGGAACGAGCCAAATTTCCTGAGCACATCGAGTGGCACTGGTCTTGTCACTGCCACCGACATCCAACTGGCCAGAGCAAGTCACACAGCCAAACCCACATCGATGTGTTTGGTATTTGCTGAACAATGACGCAAACTGTCACAAAACTCACGACCACAAACAGTGGATCAGGAAAGCGAAGTTCAGTGCAGGATTGTTTATTATTTAAGAGGCTGTCTGAACACCCAGGGCTACATTGTTAGAAGGAGAGAAGCGGGGTGGAAAGAGGGATCCTTGCATCTGAATCACCCTGAAGGAAAGTCCCAGGCAGCCAATGCAAACACCCCCCACCCCTCCCCCCTCCCCCGCCACTGCCAGCCGCCTCTGCCAGCCGCCTCCACCGCGATGCCGAGGGAGGGAGACATGTTGAACAGCTGCCCCTGGTTTCTAGCCTGATTCAGGGAGGAAAAGCAAGAGGTGGTTATCCCCTCCCCCTTCCCTACGACACCCCTCCTGCCAGCAGGTGGACGCAGCACACGTTTAACTCCAATTTCAACTTTAAACTGCAGCTGCTGTCACTGCCTGGGGGACCCGTCTTTTTACATGTTATTACAGATCACTTGCCCGCTGCTGCAATAAAGAACTCTCAACGGGCTGCCTGGAATTCCTAAATCAGCGCCGTGGAGAGCCTGGTGGATAAAGGAACGAGACAGACTGCCCTTCAGTGGTGATGCGTGTTGGGCCCAAGCAGGGGCGCCTCTCCCAAGCACCAGCCCCACGACGGAGTTGGCCCCCTCTGCCACGATGGCGCTGGGGACCCTCACCGCAGCCGTGTGGAATGCCCCTGCATCCCTTAGCCTTGATGGTAAAACCATCGCTGGCTTCCTTTAATGCCTTTCTGGTTCCGAAATTTGCTCTTGCAATTATGGGATGTGGAAGAGAGAGGGGTGGATGGATCGGGTATTAGATCGATCAAATCCAACTGGAGTCCGCAGACCCTGGGGATACACGATGACTTTCTAAGGGCTCACAGGCCTGGGCAGTTTTAAGAGGATCAGTTTTCAGCTGCTCAAATGGCATGTGTATGCCTTGGGCTCTTCTTTTCCCCCGCCTCTTTTCAGTAATACTCTTCTCTCGTGTTGTAAAACAAAGACGGATCGGTGTTCTGGCAGGAGACGGATGGCACATTCGCACTGGTTAATGCGAGAATAGTTCCCTCTAAGGTTTTATTTAAAACTCGTGCGCAGGATGAAGAGAAATCGCAAAGGATAGTGCAGGGCCCTGGCTGGCGACAGTGGGGCCCTGGGCAGGACAAGAGTGGGGAGGTTTCTGGAACCTGGAGACAAAAAGGGACTCTATGGAGGGGAGCTAGGCAGGAGCTGGGGCCCCTGGCGTGGGTGCAGGCAGCCTGGGCTCCACACGTCGGGTCTCATGGGATAAAGACACTCGCCTCTCAGCCTGTCATCTCTACGGTTTCTCCCACTTATTGGCCAAAGTCAACCGAAAGCCAGCGAGCAAGGAGGCCCGTTTTGACGGAAGTCGTTCAAAGAATTCAGCGACATGTAACAGAAGCTCGTCAATTCCCATCTGTTTATTTATTCGAACAAAGTTCTTCATTACATCAACCCAACCAAACTTAAAAAAAAAAAAAGAGGTAGATAGTGTTGATGCTGAAACCTGTCTCTTTACAGCAATAAGCAACACCCATGCATGAATACATGACTTAATTGAAAAAACAGCCCCGCAACAGTTTTGATCAATTGTTTTGATCCATTGTGCACTACTCGCTATTGTGATGACAACGGAATTCAGAATCACATATTTAGCACTTAAAGCTTTACGGTCACAGAAATTGGTAAATTTTTCATTTTTAACTTATATATGTATTTGTTACAGTGATGATCAGTAAAGGACTTCAGAGCACGGAGATGTGATACACACCCATCAGAGTCTGCCAGAGGAGTAGGGGCTCAAAGAGAAAAATGCCAAATTTCCAACAATCAGAGCTGAGCTTCTCATGTGTGTTTTAAATCAGTGACAGTGGATATCAGTCACAGTGGTATTGAGTTTCCACTGGACACACTTTAAAAGTGACATAACAGTGTTCTTTCAGAATATAAATATAACTGGTACACCAATTTAAACTTATGATAAAAAATAACCGGGGGTACCTAGATTTTTAAATGAGAAAGCGGAATGGAAGGATGAGCGTGGAGAATACTGCGGGGCAGATAGTTACGTGGGCTTCACTCGCCCCTCGTGTGGCTGGGAAATCAAGGGATAAATAGGACAGCAATTCAGAAGGTGTCCAGGACAGCCCTCATCAGGCGCCCGATGACAAGGCAGTGATGTGCTGTCAGAAGAGGAGCTTGCTGGGCGGTCAGAACAGCCCTCCTCACGCAGACTGGGGACTGGAGACTCTCACAGGGCGAGGGTGAGGGTCGAATATGTGGGGAGAGAGCTGCCAGGACCTTTAGAAAGAGGAGATTTGCAAAGCCCTCAGAGACTCTGGTTTGCAGCCAACGAGGATAACGCTACGATTCTGTATTTATTGTATGCTGCTATTTTCCAGGCAGCGGGATAAACAGTACGTATCTGTTTCTCGAACTGTATCCGTGTCTGTGTCCACATCTATATTTGTGTCTATGTCTATATGTCACTCAAGCAAATCCCTAAAAGGAGAATCTCTATCATGATCATCACCCATTTATAGATGAGGAAGCCGGTTAAATACCTTGCCCAGATCACTTGCCAGCTGCTAAATGGTAAAGCCAGAATTTAAACATGTCAACACCGGTCTGCCGAGTCTGGCACCCATCCTTTAGCCACTGTGCCATATTACTTGCCTCTCTTTGGTTGGTTGACTACCTATGCAGTCCTTCAATCCTACTTTCATAAGGCAAATAATTATTGCACACAGACCATCTGCTGGGCACTGTGCTAGATGCCTTTATCAATACATCCTGTTGTTGGAGAGTCCTCATCCCTACTGATTCCCTTGTGCAAACCCACTATGGTGTGGCTTAATTCTTCCCTTATGTCTTGGGAAGGAGTGGTGACTCCCCTTTCCGAGCCTTGGAAGGCAAGCCTTGTTCTCCTTGCTTTCCTTTCTCTCCTTCTCCAATCTTAGGGCCCACCTCCCATGCCCAGTTTGCCCTGGCCAGCCCGAGTTCCTGCCCCAAAATGAAAAATTAGAAAAGTCCTATCAAGGCTGTCAGCTAAAGTCTCTGTGCGCGTTCATCTGTGGCTATCGACTCTAGTCAACACTCATACCGAAGTGGTTAAAATACTTCTCAGAATGTGAACACAGCACTTAGGCTTGTATTCCACTATTATAGAATTAAGTGATTGGGCCACAAATACCCACAAAGGCAGTGTTTTTTCAGTAGCTGGGTAAAGATCTGGGATTCTAGGACAGTACAAGAAAGAGATCACATACATTGAAGGACAGTCAGTAGGGTCTGCCAGAGCAGCTAATACATGTGTTCACTTTGCCCTGACATTTCCCCCGGCTTCTCATGGCATTTAGGGAACAGGGCAGAGTCTCCCTGTGAGCAGCCCTCCTCCCCACCCCCCCAGAACAAGCCTGTTGTAGTAGTTTCTAATATCAATACTGAGTATTTTCCAGAGACTTCTTGTCCTCCAACTTGGAACATTCAGAAGTGGTAAGAACATGTTCACAGATGGACTTGCCATTGATTTACAATCCAATTCTCATATTCTGAAGCAAAAATGACTGTTTTCTGCTCAGTTAGTCTGTCGGCTGCGGCTGCTGCAGGGAGGTGACAGGGAAAGGCTCTTCCCTTCCAGACACTTGAGGGTGACGGTGCAGCAGCCACCAGCTGCTCAGACACGGAAGGGATGAGCGCATGTGTCAGGGTTCTCTGTCGCTAGGGTCCACTGTAGCTATCTGTGCAGAAAAAGAGCTTCCTGGATGGTGTGGGGACCTCACAGAATCTCTGGGGCAGACAGCAAAATCAGGCTCCTTGGAGTCTGCATCACTGGGAATAATGTCTGAATTACAGCGTGGAACTCTCCAGTGGAGACACCACAACCTGCTGTGTAGGTCCTGGGCACTGAATTGCAGACTTCAGTCATGGCTACCTCTGGGAACAAGAGGCCATCATGCCCAGAACAGATTCCTTACAAAGCTTGCTTTACCTCGGTGGCTCTGTAATGGGCATATCCACACCACTGCTGATTGGCCAAGTCCAGGTCACATGACTGCACGCTCCCTACAGGGGAAGTTGAGAAAGCAAGTTTCCGGCTTCCATGTTGGAGATGAGATGGTTCTTAAGGTGGGAAATTACCCCAGTCACAGGGAAGAGTTTAGATATGCAGGGCAGACAAAATCATGCCAAAGATCGGATATTCTGATTTAAATTTTATTTCCAGTTTTTCTCAGTTCAGTCTTTAGGAAGAATTCCTGATTATTCCTCAAGCACTCTCCTTGACAGTATCTATTGGGGTTTTTACTTACAAACAGGAGAAACTGACTCTAGTTAATGTAAGACAAAAAAAAGGGGCGGGGGCTTTATCGAGAAAATATGGGTAAGGGCTAAGTGAAGTAAATCTGGTGTATTGTGGTTTAGGAATGATGAGAGACATGGAAGCTTCTGGACTCTGGACCACAAAGACCAACGGGCACTGTCTCCCCACTCACTCTGTGGCACATATCACCACATGAAACAGTCATATGTTTGTGTGTTTGCTGGTCCTGGTTTTGTTGTTGTTGTTGTTTTGTTTTTTTGTCTCTCCTACTAGACTGGGCAGAGACCATGTCTGCTCTGTTCATTGTACGCCAAGCCCAGGTCAAGGCCAGGTATAGGGAAAGCACTCAGGAAATGCTTGATGAAACACATACACGATGACCAAAAGAATGATGAGTTGAGCTCCAGAATCTCTCACTCTCTTCTATCTCTAGAGTTCTATGACCTCTAAGACCAGAACGTGGAGACCTGGAAGGCATACATTTGGAAGCTGGCGAAATAGCCAATCTTCCAATTTCCTTTTGTGTTCAGACTCCATCCAACCATCTATCCCCCCAGGATATGTTCATCAGGCCCTTTGGAAGAATGTGCCTCCTGCTTACAATCTGATATTTTCCAAGTGCCAAAGGGAGATTAGTTGATGGAAAGTCTCAGGATATTGGGCTGCATCTGTCACTCCACAGGGGACTGTCATTTTCACTCAGTACTGAGGAACTATGATCTGGGGACAGAAGAACCTGAGAAATTATAAACTTAAGACACACACAGGGAGCTTAAGCATTGGTATCTGAATATAACCAATTTTGCCCCTGGAGTCCAAGTTGGAAGCGTTGATGAGCTGCCCAATTTCGTAAGGGTCTCAAATATTTAGTTAAAGAAATAGTATAAATACCCACATTAAATCCAACTGCTGTTGCTATTTAAAATGTCATAAGATTGTTTGTTCCTATTGCTTGCTCAGAAAGCAACCCATGCTTGACAAAGGCCTGGTGAGCTATTTGTAAGAAGGTGCACAGAAATGAACAGTATTAAATTAGGTGCCCATTTATTCCTCTGAGCTACACATATACCCTGCTTTACACTGAAATTCTTTTCCTGTGTTTATATACATTGTTTCTTTCCAAGTAAAACTTATTATAAAGATTCCTCAGGGCATTTTTTTCCTTTTCTTTACCTTTGCTTAACTCTGGTTAAATAAGCTATTGATTTTGTTTTCCAAGTAATTTAAGGGGGTAATATAGGTCCAATTTGATACGTACAATCATAATACATTCAGAGTAAAACGTCACATTTTAGACGTTCAATTAGGACTTACAATTTTTTAAAAAAATCAAATCAAGCCAAACAATGCCCACCATGGTGATTTCTGGGTGGGCTGGATGGGCATGCAGTTGCACATGACATTAATAATGCAGAGACAAATTATCAAAATGAAAATTGACATTTAGAGGCAAGGGATGCTCTTCCAAAGACGTGCTCTTCAAGAATGAATTAACACTAGGTTTCTTCGACAGCATCAAAGTAAACTGCAATTTTTAAGAAGCCAACAGAACTTATTCTAGATGGACCAAGAAAGTCTGCAGATATTAATATATTTGCAGGGTGACCACTCTATTTGTCCACTCGAAGACAATGAACATCAGTCTTCAAAGACACACATTCTATCTATCATATACATCTTGTGACAAGAAACGCAGTCCAACTGGTTTAAGATTAAAAAAAACTTACTGCCTCATGCCAAGGAAAAGCTAGTAATACAGCTGGCCAATTCCAAAAGGCTAACACTTTGTTACCAGGTTTCTAACTCTCTCTCCCTGTCTATCTCAGGACAACTCTTGGATTGACCTCACACTGAGGCACCTGCCATTCCCACGGTGGCTCCAGAAGCCTGTGTTTTCCCTTTTCTCTCCGGTTTTTCTGTGCAGGGGCGGGGTGTGCTCTGTTTTTGTCTGTGTGTGTGTTGTGTGCTTTTTGTGCGCCTCTCTGTGGCCAGAAGCATGTGCCACCTCATTGGGCAAGCCTGAGTCACATGATCACCCCTGGAGCTGGACTGAGACCCACAAAGCCCTGCTTCCCAGAGCGAGCTCAGACTGCTGCCCCGGAAGTGCGGCGTGAGTGCTGGGCAGGAGCAAGACACCCGCCGGCCACACGCCCATCCAGACACCCTGTCCCCCTGGGTCAGCCTAGAGTCCTGTGCCCCGGCCCCCTGCTGGCCCGTGGTGCCCGGCCTCAGTTCCTCCACCACGACCGCCGGCCCCTCCCCGGCCTCTGCTTCCCTCCCTCCCTCCGTCCCTCTCTCTTCAGCTGCGACTCCCGGGAGCGTCCACAGCCCTCCCTGCCCCCACTCACTCTGCTTTCCTCCAACGACGTCTGCACTCGGGGTTCCAGCTTCGCCCCCGTTGCCGCGCCTGCGCTCCGTGTTCACGTGTCGTCTCTGACGTCAGATTGCGGGGCCGAGGGCGGGTGAGCAAGGGCCGCCCTTCCCTCCTGCTCACGTGAGGAAATGCCAGACGTGAACCCACTGTTGGCTCTAGAAATTAGTCTGTGGCCTCTGGCTAAAGGCACTAAAATAGTGTCCCAGTTTTCATGGAAACAGAAGGAAACGAGTGGTTTGCATCCATGTATCATCTATCTATCTATATATCTACTATTAATGATCCTCAACTTACAGTGGGATTAGGTCCTGATAAGTCATTGCAAATTGAAAGTATCATAGGTCAAAAATGTATTTAATACACCTACTCTACCAAACATTATAGCTTAGCCAAGCCTACCTTAAACGTGCTAAGAACACTTACATTAGCCTACAGTTGGGCCAAATCATCCAACACAAAGTTTATTTTATAATGAAGTGTTGAATATCTCATGTAATTTAGTGATTTTATTGAAGTAAACAACAGAATGGTTGTATGGCTACTCAAAGTACAGTTTCTACTACTGAGTATCACTTTCACAACATCGTATACTTGAAAAACCATTAGTCAAACCATCATAGGTTGGGGACCATCTATCTGTACATTATATATGTGCATATATAAATACATACATATACACACACACCCTAAAATTATAGATGATAATGAAAGATTATTCTTTCTACTACTATTGAAAATTCAGCCACTTAGAGTTTATAGAATGATACCACATTATTATATTTCTCTTACACATGCATAATAATTTATTTATGGATGCAAAACATCATCATCATTGTCGCTAGCCTTTATTGAGTACCATTCTAAGCTACTTACATTATTAATGTCATTTACTTCTCTTATTGAGGAAACTGAGGCACAGAGAAATTCAGTGACTTTCCCATGTTCACATAACTGGTAAGCGATGGAGTCAGGAGCATGGTAGGATTGACCTTCACCCTGTGAAGTTAGGAAAGATCATGTGACCGGTTCGGGTTAACAGAAGGTGACAGGAAATGTGTATGTCATCTGGGGAAGATGCCGTTACTATCCAGTACTGCACGTTTTGATTTCTTGCCTTAGTGACACATTCCAGATGGCAGGGGAGCTGCCATCACAGGTGTATAACTGAGGGTGTTGTGGAGTGGAGATCCCCACTGCCCTGAGGTGTATCTGGATTTGAACAATAAGCAAACCTTGTCGCTTTAAGCTACTGAGATTTGGGCTTTTTCCTTTTATATTACTGCAGAATAACACCAGATGTCAAAGGGAACTTTTGCCTCATGTAAATGTTTTTCATTTTTAATAAGGGAAATATATTCATGTATCGCATGTGTAATTAAAATGGCACTTAATAAAAGGAAGCCTCAGGTGCTGTAATGACAGTAGAATTAATCCTCACCCATTATCCCTAATGTCTTAGTCCATTTCGTGTTCCTATAAAGGAATATCTGACGCTGCGTAATTTATAAAGAACAAAGGTTTATTTGGCTCATGATTCTGATGGCTGGAAAGTTCAAGGTTGGGCATCTGCATCTGGTGAGGACCTCAGGCTGCTTCCACTCATGGGGGAAGGTGAAGGTGAGCCGGTGTGTGAAGAGATCACATATAGAGAGAGGAAGAAAGAAAGAGATAGGGAAAGTGCAAGACTCTTTTTAACAACCAGCTCTCTCAGAAATTAATAGAGTGAGAACTCGCTCAGACCCAGAGAGGATATTAATCTTTTCATGAGGGATCTGCCCCTCTGACCCCGTGGGCATCAAATTTCAACATGAGGTTTAGAGGGGCCAAATATCCAAACCATAATTCCTAGTAAATTAAGATATTTTAGATATCTGTGTGTTCTCAATGGTTAATGATTAATAAACAAAACTTCCTTTTGTATTTAAAGAGTTTTGGTCGTAAATCTTTCTAAAAGATTATACTGGTGTTCATTGCTCTATTCTTTTAACTCTTCTGATATTTTTTAAGGTGAGCAATGTTTCCTTAAAGTGTAATTTAACTTCTCAGTTGTTCATGTCAAAGAAAATGATCTTTTATTATCAAACAGTTCTATAGCAACTCTTCCATGCCAGGCATGTTGTAAATGCCGTACAAATATTAACTCTATTAAATTTGACAATAACCTTTTGAGTCACATATTATGATTAATTAATGATCCCATAGTTCATGAGTGAGAGAGCCAGGATTTGGTCCAAGGCAGTCTGGTCCAGAGTGTCCACCTTCATGGCCATATGATTCTGTGTTTCTGTACCACAAGGTACAGAAGAAGAGCGTTTGTTCCATAAATGCATCAGTAATTATTTGTTGAGTGAATGAGTGAATGAATGCATGAATTGCACTTCCCCAAACACTTTCATTTACATTATTTCATCTGAACATTGCAGCAGTCCTTGGGCCACTGGCTGTGATTATATCCCCAGGGTACAAATGAGGACACTGAGGAGATGCCCCTGTCCTCCTTGGGGGCTTAGATTGCTCTGAGGCTTCCTCCCCACCCCTCTTTTTCTTTTCCTTTTTCTCCCTTTTTTGGGGCTTCTTTGGGCCTCCCTGCCTGTCTCCATCTCTGTGGCTTTCTCCTCCTCGCTTCCTCTGTCTCCATCTGCACATCTCCCTCCTACTCAGCAGCACACAGAAACATGCCCAAGGAGCTAGGCTTCAGGGAGTGCCTAAGGCACTATAGAAATTACTGAAGTCATAATCTGTCCATTCAATCATTCACTCATTCACAAACATTGCTCAAGTTCCTAGCGTGTGCTAGTCCCTGGGAGTGGAAGGCCAGTCTTTCTTTTCAGGAAGTGGACAGAATATGGGAGAAATACATGTGCAAATAAAATTTGCAGTACCATTGACCAGAGCACTAAGAGGAATGAGAGTGCCCAAGGGGGCCCCCCCGAGGGAGTCGTGAACTCTGCCTGGAAGGTCAGGGGTGTCTGCCCAGAAGTCATGACATTTGACTTAGGGTAGAGTGTGGTAGTGAGAGTGTGGGCTCCAGAGCTAAGTGGCCTCCATTCAAAAGGGGACCGATGTGTGTAACCAGTGAACACACTTTTCTGTGCCTCAGTTTTCACGTCTGTAAAATGGGAGAGACTATGAAGCTCAGAGCACCCACGTCCTAGAGTTGATATGAAAATGATGAGTTAGAACACGTTACGTTTACAACAGTATTTGGCACAAAATAAGTGCTCAATAAATATCTGTGGCCTGAGACATAAATGGATGAGTACCCTTCTATGTTTGTACTATAGATAAGACCAGAGAAGGACAACCTTGGTTTTTCCCCTCCTTAACCGGCAATGTTGATCATTCCCTTTATCTACTCCACCCTTGCATTTTGGAGGACTGATGGAATTCCAATGCTGAGATGATGAGATGCAAGTTTTATTTTGTTTTAGCCAAAAGCAACATGGTGCAGAATTGAGTATGTGGCTTCTAGGGTAAGCATTGTCACTTGCTGACCACATGACCTGGGACAAAATACCCCTCTGCCTCATTTGTCAGGTGTGAATGAACAGTTGTGGGGGGAGGATCTGAGCAACTGTATGGAAGGTGTTGAAGATTCACAGAGTGGATGTGCTATAGTGTGGCGGGCAGCATAATGGTCCCCAAAGACGCCACATCCTAATTTCTGGAACCTGTGACTATGTTATCTTACATGGCAAGGGGGAACTAAGGTTGCTGATCAACTGACTTCGGGAATGAGGAGATTATCCTGGGCCATCCGGGTGGATTCAGTACAATCACAGGGTCCTTAAAAGTGGACGAGGGAGGCAGGAGAGTCAGAGTTGGACTCTGCACGGAACTTTGTAGTTTACAAAGCATTTAAAAATATTTTAAAAATTCATTTTTTAAGGCAATTCTTATTAACACCTTCTACCTGGGACAGATGAGGCAACCCAAGCTCAGGAAGTTCACTTGTTTAACAAATATTTATTGAGCCCCTACTTTGGGCGTGTTCCTGGCCCGGAGGTGTGGCAGGGAACAAAACAAAGACAAGCCCCTGCCTTGGTCCAGTGGGCCCGTAACTGGGAAACAGACAGTGATCAGTGTGAATGAAAGGCACGGTGCCTGAGTCACTCAGCTGGGAGGTTGGGGCCCAGATGTCCAGGCTGGCTTTGGTCTCACTCGAGATGATAGCAGAGATGCTGGGGCCTGGGGACAGCCTCCACCCAGGCACCCCAGACCTGCCTCTGTGGTCACAGCCTGGCCCAGAGATTCACTCCCAGCCAGGCACTGCCCTTCCTAGGAGAAAAAAATAAGAAACAAAACAGTTGTTGCTTTTTCTTTTTTTGAAAAAAGTGTGTTAGTCCTCTATTGGTGGCCATGGAATTTTTATGTGGGAGATGGCAATTTGGCTGAAAGGGGATTTGAGAGAAGCCTTTATTGTTCATAGTGTGTGTTCTCCCCCTTCCAGAAACAAAGGGATATCATTTTCCCTCCACTTGAAGCAGGCGGGGGGTCAGGGGCGGGCACGGGACACATTCCAGGCTTGGTGAGGATGGAGGAGGCGTTGTGTGTCACTGCAGACCGAAGCGTGTCACAGCAGGTGCACAAGCTCCGTGGTGCCGTGACCCGCACTGAGGTGGCGGGAGCTGGCACGGCCAGGCGGACACAGCAAGGTGGAAACCGCCTGCCGTCTGAGTCCACGTGGGTGTGCGGCCTGCGAGTGTCACCCGGACCGTCAGCGGACTTCACATGAACACAGAAACATAAATCACCACGTAAGTGAGTACACAAACAAAATTTTGGTGTGATTACCACTGAGATTTGGGGGCAGTTGCTATTACAGCATAAGCCTAGCTCTATCTGTCCCGTAAGGGGCCATGAGGTTGGGTGCAGGACACTTGTCTTGAATCTGCCTCGGCAGAAACATTCACAGTTTCTACTTGGAGTGTATGGCTGAAAAGAATGAAATTGTTTTGTAATGCTTATTTAATTTTTATTTTACATAGATATTTTCTTGGTGTGGCCCTAATGGAGATTCGGAGAGGTGTGGGTAAACTTCCCTTTCCAAGCCATTTGTTGGTACCACCACTAGTATAGAGTATTAAACCAAGAACTC